AAAGGTTGTCACTTTGGCAGCGTTAGGCAGTCGCTCGTGTTGGTTGGGATAGGCAATGGTGTTGGTAACTGGATGGTGAGGGGTGACCAAGGGGTGGTGGTGCAGGCAGGGGGCGATACAGAAGGCGGGAGGCAAGGAAGAACAACGAAGAACTCGGCGAATGGGACAACAGGGCGCATGAGCGATGCGAGTTGGCAACATGTATGGCGAATGCAACATGTTGACAAGGTGGAATGTGAGTTAACAAGGATTCGAAAAATATAAATAAATATATAAGAAATCATGGATTTTTTATCTTAAAAAAAACGAAATACTTTATTTATTACATATACGTAGGTAGTAATTAACGCTTTCATAAATCTTTGAGGACAAATCTATAACTTACTTCCTTTTTATAATTATGATAATGAAAGGTCGACAAAACATAATTATACAACATAATAATATAAAAAATATTTTTATTTAACACTATAATTAAACAATATATAATTTAGGTATAGAAAGTTTTTGTTCCATTTGGACTACATTGTATACCAATTATCATCAATTAAATATAAAATTCCATTTTATACTTATGTTACGAACTACAATTTGTATTATTTATTTTTAGGTAAAAAAAAAAGTGTATCTACAATTAAAAAATCGAATGTTACAATTTGTCGATTTAATATTAGGAAATCCAAACAATAAAACTTAATTAAAAACATTTAATTTAAGGTTATTTATGTAAATTAGTTTACTTAATAAGATTACATTTTGGTTATTAAAAAAATTGTAAAATATTGATGACTTCAAAGGCTCACTGCGAATAGCATCCACAAATTTTCCCGCCAATTGCAGGCCAAGCCGAAGTATCTACAAACAAACACTCGCTCACACACAGACACACTCTCTAACAACCCCGAAAAGCCACAAAGCAAACAGAGCGGGTGGGGATGGGGATGGTGGGTGGCATGGGTCGGGAGCAGGGGGCATCCATTCGTCTGACGTTTGGTCGTAAGGCGTAAAATCTGCAAAGCTCAACACTGAGACCAAAAGCCGGTTTCCCCACCCCCAACCCTTCGACACACTTCCCTCCCCACTGTTATTTACATTTTGTTTTGCCGGCTTTCCCGTACGAAGCAAAATCCGACAGATAGCCGAACCAAAACGAGCGGAAAATCCGAAAGATACACGAGCCTTTGGCCCACGATTCGGGGCTGGCTTTATTTTCCGATTCGATTCCCATCCACCGATTCAGTTGGCAACGGCCCGCACGCTGAAACGGTCATATGCGCTTTTCAGCCCGCTAAAAGGAATTCAAGAAAAATCTCTGTGTGTTTTTGAATATTTTTCTTAAAATTTGGAATCTCGAGTGCCGCGTGTGTTATTTTGAGTTATCGCGATCGCGGCTAAGTGCAATTAGTGCCACAAATTTAGTGCAATGAATTGGGAAATTTCTTCCACTGGCCAGGCGCATCATTAGCAAATGAATTAACAAAAAGATATTATTAGTGCTGTTGTGAGTGCGAATTTTTAAGTGTTCAAATTCCAGTTGCTCTAAGGTAATTTCCCCGAATATCTTGTACTCTAGCGTCAGACCGCAGAAATATGTCCCCAAAAAATAACAGAACGTCGCGCATGTTAATTAAGACATGGCATAAAAAAAGAAATGCCGAATGGCAGTGGGGCCAATGCCAATCCATCCATCACTCAATTGCCAGTTCAGCTACGGATTTTCTGGGTTCTCCCCCCATAAAACTCTGATTTTCGATTATTTTTTTAGCAGCTTCGAAGCCAAATGTGCATTAATTTTAATTTGAAACTCAAGAGAGTCGAGTGCACATGTGTTTCATTATTTTTTAATTTTGCGTTAGGCGATAAATAATCAGCTGGCTGGCAGTGCGATAAATATTTATGCAAGTGGACTCAATTGTCTAAACAGATGCCGTAGACAATCTCAACCGAAGCGATCCCCGGCACTTAATAAAATCTGTGGAACATCAGAACATATCAGACTTTCAATCCGGTACCCGTCAACTCCGTTTCCTCTTTGGCCGATTTCAGTTTCGATTTGTTTGTTTATCTTGATGCAATTTGTCCGGCCACGCCTCTCAATTAAATCGCAGCCCCAAAAGTTATTCCTCTGGGGATGGGATCCTTTGTTTTGATGTTATCAGCTGAGACTTTACCGTTGTTGCATGTTGGCTAACAGAATAATTGACAAAACAAATCATTTACGTGGCAAAAGTTTTCGGCCCTCCCCGCATTTCTGCACCCCCTTAACCCCAGTCATCGCTTAAATTGCACACGGCGGCAAGACACGCAACATGTTTGATGACAAAAAAGAAACAAAATAAAAACACGAAAATTGTGCAACATTCGGGGGCACAGAGAATTTCGCGCTGCAATATAAATAACAGCATAATAACTAGACGGCCGGTCTGTCTGAGTGGAGAGATAAATGAGCATAATAAGTAGAAAGCGCACATAGGATGGGATCATTCCCATACTCATGTATGCGCCGAAAACAATGAATTATTTCACCAAAATAGTTTTAGTCTATAAACATTTTTTTACGAATAGAGAATTTAATTTTAACAGATCAGAAAACAATTTCAAAACAAGAATCAAAGACAAAATAAAAATACGTGAATAACATTTAGAACCAAATAACACAAATAACTTGTGTTTCTTAATTTGTAATCGTTTAAATTACTAGGAATTAAAATTCTAATATGAGATGATTAATTATTTTCTTATTATTAATTTCTTTTCTTCTTCAATATTACTTACCTTATATGGAAATCGGTTTAATTGCAAAAGGTTTCTTTAAAAAATATTAAAATAAATGAACGAGTAGCTAGCCCAAAAAGTCACAAACTAATCCCAAAATCGAATTCGGTAATCAAACCAAATGCAAACTTGTATTTAACCGCAAGTTAAATCATATTATGGGCTGTCAAACCGCAAAAGAGCCCAATTCTGCGGGGAAACAGATTGTGGGTTTTCCGGGGTTAATGTTTGGCTTGTGGCTCACAGTCGATTGCCTGATTTACGGACCAGCCCGCATACGAAAGGCTCATTGCAATAGTCAACATGTTAACATGTTGTTAAACACACGGTGGTAAATCGGAATGAGGGCTGAAATTATTTTTACGGCCCGTTTTCGGCTAGAAATCCCCACATTTATGGCTATTCGATTTTAGGTTATTGCCACGCCGCGTTGAATAGTGCGATGATATGGGGGAGTCCTTCCTGCTGGCAGGCAAACAGCGCCTGGTGCTTTTCGGTTTATTAAAAACGTATTACTCCCTATTGAACGCCTCGCCATAGGCAATGGTTTTATGGCTATTCCTTACACATTTTCACATGCACAGCATAACAAGTAGATAAAACTACATGAAAATAGTAACAAAGCGTTGTCCTTGGCAATCCGAAAGTGACGATTGCTCAAACAAATGCTGGGCCATATAGTTTTTAGCTCCGGTGGATTCTCATTCAAGTATACGCTTAGTTTATGTTCCGGTGATTGGCGTGTGAACAATTTTATAGCATTTTAATTGCTCCAACTTTCGATTGCCTCACTGGTCACATGTGCTCAGCTCCTGAAACTTATTCATCTCGATCGTGTTTATTTATGTGCGTCTAATTTATGCGAGTAGTTTTACTTAGGTTCGATTTCATCGACCTTGCTCCTCCGAAATTGTGATAATATTATAAAAATTTCAACAACTTCGTCGTCGTCACCTAGGCTGAAGTTTTCTAAAGCACTGCGTAGAAGTGAATAGTATAAACAAAATTTGTATACTCTTAAGGAAGGGGAAAATTCATGGGAAATTTAGAAAATAGTTTTATATAGAATGTTAGCCTCAGAGATCAGATTAAAATATTTATCGTTTCATATATTATTATGAGTACTAAATAAAAGTTGTTACAGTGCTCTTCAGCTTTCCAGTGCAGAGTTCACCTGCAAATATTTGGCAGCTGACGCATCAAAGGCCACAGCCGTATTAACTTTTCACCTAAACAGCCAAAAACCACAAAACTATTTAGCGCTTTCTGTAGTCAAAATGAAAATCACTGTTTATTGGGGGGTCGGAAGGAAAATTCCGAGCATATTAAAGCCATCTGCCCGGGGGCGCTGCATCTGCAACTGCAATTCGCAGGTGTTGAGATGCCTCCTAATTTATGAGCTGTGCATAGTGGGTTAATGTAACAGCAAATGGCCCATTGCGATTTGAGTTAAACAAGATGGCCCACCCCCCACCCAAAGCCACAAGGTCGCCTGACTGGGCTTAGATTGCAGGGGGTGGTGGATTCCAGTGGGCTGCATTTACATGCTCCATTTGGCTGAAACGAGGAAGCGAGTTTAAAGTAAAAGAGTTCAATTAGAGCTTACGGAGCACGAATACAGGAAACGAAAAACCAAGAGAAATCGGTCGATAATTTCATTGCTCCGGCTTCCCACCTGATTAGCATTCCTTTGTGGGACAGATGTCTGCGATTATTTATCTAAAGCGAAAAAAACAGCTCTACCCATTTTAAGTTTTGTTTAAATATTTAAACGCTTTAAAATGAATCTTGAGTCCCTTAAGTCCAAAAAATGAAGCAAAAATGTTTAATGATTTTTTGAAAGGCTTATATTTAGTAACTTTATTTGGCAAATAAGTAGAACAAAACCTTTGGAAACAAACAGTAATTTTAGTTTAAAGATCATACTCATAAAAATATTTTAATATTTAAAAACCCTAATAAATTTGTGTGTTTCGAATGAAAAACTTAATAATTTCTCTTCATCTTTAAATTAATATTAAATAGCTTTTATTTCAAAACGAGCCAAAAATGCCAAGCCATAAATCATATTTGTTATAAATTTATCGTAAATGGGAAAAATATTTATTTTTACGAAAACGTATTAGGTCTATAAAAAAGTTGTCAGCCACTAACTTTCCGCCATTAAATCTTTAAATTTGCCTACAATTAATTACAAACTAATCGGATAAACTTGTAATGTATTCAATAAATTAGACTGAATAAATATTCCTATTAAGGGAGCTGAAACTGTGCAACTATGCGAATTCAATGAGCTTGTAATAAACCGCTGAAATATTACGCATACGCCGGGGACGCATAAATAAGTAAGCAGAACGAAGTATTTTCCGATCTGATTGATGCCTTCCTGCCGGAAAATCGTTTTGGCCAATGGCGTGAAATTCACTTTCGTTCGCTTTTGGACTCTGTTGTTTTGGCCTTTTTGTAGATGCCATGCACATTTGCAGGCTTTTGTTTTGGGGCTTACGTGTTTGAATTCATGTGCCACGGGATTTTATTGATTCCAGGCTTGAGTCACTGCCAAGAAAAAAAAGACAAGGAGTTGTTGAGTGGGTGAAAGCCAAGGCAAAACACAGCAAAATAATTAGCTAGGGAGCTCGTAATGTTGGGCCATAAATCCAGAGTCTGGCATTTCGTGTCAAGGCTCGTCGGCGAATCGATTGATAAATTAATCAGAATTAGTCCTTGAAAAGCCGTACTAAATATTTATAGCATTCGAATTAGCTGCGCCCAGGAATAATCGACTGTAAGTGCTTCGTTGGAAAATTTTCAATTTCAATTGTAATTTTAAATGTCCCAAGGGATGGTGTAACATGGAGAACCTTTAAAGCTTAGCCTAAACAATACTCGCTATATATACTATATCTGTGTCCTCCGCCCAACAACGAAGCCACTTAAGCCCTAACTTTGGATGTAGCTGACAAATGAAGACTGACATTCGCCAAACAATTGAGCTGCGGAAAAAATAAGAAATGAAGAGAGCTGAAAAACAGAAAAACCAAATTATTCCGCTTACAACTTGTCGCGACTGCTGAGTTTTCAAAAGCAACTTGTTGTCACAAGGCAGCAGATTTCCGCGCTTCCATTTTTTTCGACTCCGTGCTAAACGTGAAAGATTTAAAATAAAACCACTTAGCCGCTGAGCTCCATTTGCAACAATTGTTTGAGCCTCGCGAGCCATGATAAAGTGTCCTCAGAGACATCAGTTACGGAAAAGGGCGCGGGGAATCCCCGAGTTTACGTCAACTGCATGAATTTTCGGGGGAAGAAACATTTTTGAATAATTTATGCACTTGGCGGTTTTAGGGTGACAAATATATGCTTGGGTGCGTCGTTGTGTGTTATCATTAATGGTATAAAATTAATTTATTGTTAATATTAACTATAGAATTAAAAACAATTTTTTTTATGTTTTCCATGTCTAATGATTATTTAATTCAGATATTTCAGTGTTTCTGGATAATTCAAGAAAAGGTCTGAAAAATTGACCAAGTTTTCTAAGTTTATTCATAAATTACTCAGTGTCCGAATTTCCGGCAAAAATAATTTTGTTATTCTTACATTGTTAATAATTGCGTTACTAAATCTTGAATTTCCCCATTTACTTATTTCCTCTTCAATAAATTCGTACTGTTCCTGTAATTACTTAAACCCTTCAAGTAAGTTTCCGAACTCACAACTATCCAAAGTCCATTCTTGTTCATGGGATGCGTAAATCCTTCGAGGGAACTCACCCGTGCCGGAATAAAATTTATAAGAATTCCGCTGGCTAGCCAGGCGTATCCGCCTCAATTTAAACAATTAATGTCAATCTGCGCCGAGGGTGAATAATTTTTGTCTGCTCCAGATACATTTATAGTGAGGAAATTATATTAAAAAGTGTGTTCATTTGATTTCATTTGATTCGATCCCATAGAGAATAAAATCTATTTACCCAACGTTTATTTTATGCGAGTGTAAATACTAGAAAAACCATGACGGCGTGTGTTTTGTTTATATATTTTCAAAAAGCCAAACATAAATAGGAAAGGGTGTGGGGAAAATCTTTGAACTGTGTTACAGAGGGAGGTGGTCGAAAATAGAGTGAGGCGAAAAAATCGGATGCTTTTGAGAACTACCTGGGGCGCAACTAAGTGGCATCTATTTTGGTGATGTTGGCCTATGTTTTTTTTTTGTTCATTATTAACTGAAAGCTGACAGTTGGACATGTAATTGTATATAATTGAAAATGAAAAGCCTCACATAGAATCACACTCAAATGCCGAATGCACACCTGCAATCTCGCACACACATAGCCATTCGGGCGATTTGAATGTCAGACTGGCAAGTTTTCAGCTTTTCAGCATCGTTCGTTGTCTGGCGGAAATTTCAACGTGTTCGGGATGTCAACATTTCCCCGGCCACTTTCCCCCGATCACCATTTTCCTACCATTCAAATGCAGAAAATGCAACAAGTTGCCAGCCAGCCAACAAAATGGCGGAAACGTGTTGCTGTCGGCGTTGACTGGAAAATCAAAGCTCCCCTGGTGGATTCATGAATTATGGAATGCATATTTAAACGCAACTTTAAACTTTTTTATTGCCACGAGGAGGAGCGACGACGAGGAGGACATCCTAATTGTGGAAAACTTTCGCACACGCTTCATATCCTGGCAGCCGGTCCACGTCGCACGTCGCTGTTCATTGACTTTGGCAGCGTACAAGGATGCAGGACACACAGTGCGACTTTGTTTTTAATACACTCGACTCGACTTGCCTCGACTCCAGCTGCATCGATCGGCGGGACAAACAAGGCCCGTCGCCTGTCTGGTCCTGCCGCAGTTCATTACTCCGTCGGCCGGCTATCCTGGTCCTTTCTTTACACAGAAGAAAAAGGGAGATTGTGCTAGTTTCGATTTTACCTTAAAATTTTTAAGAAGGGGATTCCTATACGCACATATTATTGTTTAAAAAATTTGTAAAGTTAGGGGAATGATAGGTCATATTCTGATGAAAACCGATTTGATTTTATAGTTAGACAAACTTTTAAACATAAATAAATATTGTTAGAATTTTGATAATATTCTAAAGGTGAAGACGATTTTTTAAATAATTTTCCATAATGAAAATCTTATAAAAATATGATGAATAAAAAATATTCCCATCATATTCAATATTTATTGATTATAATCAACAAAAAAATATTGCATTTTTCTTAAATCTATGTTCTTTTTTTTAATTAAAAAAACAAATAATAAATATTAAAATTTTGTCGACTGCATCCTTTCCTGGCTCGCTGCTGTCCCGTGACTCCTTGCTTTTTTGTTAGCCGCTGTCGATGGTTTACGTGGAGCCATGACAAAGATTATCAATAACAAGTCCAAGGAAGATATACACATGCGTTATCCCTGCAACGGATATTGGCTTCGCCACAAGCTGGCATGGCTTCTCTTGCCACTGTCCATCGAATGTCCTGTAATGCCTGTTCGCCACATCCATATCAATTGTGTCCTCACGCCTTTGTTTGCTCGCTGCAAGTAAGCAGTGCTGCTCCGTTTAAATATTCAAGAACTTTATGTGGAATTATCGTTTCCATACATCGAAAATTATTACGAAAATACTATACTTAAATTTTCTTATTGGGCTAAATATTTCCGCTACAAATAAAATTAAATTAATTAAAAAAACATTTTTTTTATTATCTGAATTTATTAAATAAACTTTATTTTCCTATTTTCAATTTGAGTAAAATCGTTTTGTCCTATATTCCTTTGTTTTTCCATGAACAGCCAAAACCAATATCAACATCAACGCACAAATGATTTTTTTTTGTTGGCAGAATGAAATACTCAACGTTCGACCATCCTCCGTTCGCCACTCGTATTCGCATCATAATTTGCAATGTGTTTTCTGGCAGGAAGTTGCCGCCGAAAATATGCTGAGAAAATTGAGGAGAGATGCGGAGGGTGAAAAGGTGTCCGAGCTTGTCATATCCTGTTGGCAGCGCCGACAGAGGTTCAGGTGGAGCATCCTCTCCACCGGAAGTGTGAAATATTTTTACCAGCCCCACCGCCAAACTCACCTGAATTTACCTTCTGCTTATGTGGAATGGAATTTTTGCGCTGGAGCGTATTTTATTGGCATTTTGTATGAAATTTGTGGCCAGGCCAGCTAGGAATTCTTTCAGCAATTTTCGTATTAAATTTTTCGACTTTCCCGACGGCCACGATTTCCCTGGAAATCTCGCAATTAAGCTTAAAATCCCCACGAAAAAATACTCAAATTCGCGTTGTTCGCCGTGCGTATAATTGATTTAGCCAAATTGTTAACCGCATGAAACTAGGCAAATTGCGCAAGCCTCTATTGGAGGACCCAGTCCAAAAATCAGGCCCAAATCGAGCTGTAAGTCCGCCGGGGAACCTTTTAATTTCACGCATGCAGTGCATAAATTTAGCATTTTACCATTTGCATTTACATTTGGCATGGGGCATGATTATGCGACACTTGTCAATGGATTTGCATGGCATAGCAGTTGTCCTCTTTTCGGTATTGGCCATTCTGCAGTTTTCCACTTCGATTCGGTGGGAGGATAATCAGGGGATAATCCCGCTCGCATCCCGAAATTCTAGTTGCGGTTGGGGATTTGAAATTAAAGGGAATTCAAGGGAAATTCGGACTAACTTTATTATATGGAAATTATTTGTGAGATCTTCCGAATGATTTTGTTTATTGGCGAAAAATGTATTTGGAATTGGAAAATCAGAATGATTTCTTCTGAATCTTTAAAGTTTAGAATCTAAACTTTAGATGTTCTATGGAAAATGTATTAATCTTGTTGGGAAAAGTTTTTTATGGAACATTCAAATAGGAATCAAAGGGAATTTAACTTAGAGGCATTGTAAAAATGATGAAAAAGAATGTAGGAAAACTTTTTAATTAAAAGATTTGTTGGTTAGAAATTTTTTTTTGCTTTATTAAACAAATTTGATTTATTTATTATAAACATTTTATCTTTCATTTTGAACTGCATTATTTCGTACAATGTAGTAGGGCAATTGTAACTGAACATGCCGAGCATTCCACGCCTGTCAACGCTTCTTCACTCAGCGGCTTTTTCTTAGACGCAATCTAGCGCCAAAAGTGCAAATTCTAGAGGTGCAGTTCTAGATGCTAGCCAAATGTTGCTGCTAATTAAATTGACTTCGTAGGTCTCTCTTTACCTTGCTCCTCTCTGTTTTGATTGCTGGCCGCGGCGTTTGTTCAAAATGTGGGTCAATTATGCGATTCGTCGCGTCACAGACAAAACCAGGATGGTTGGGGGGTGAAAAACATCCATCAGAGGCCATTGAAATGTGCGGGAGGATGGGCAGAGCACAATTCGCACAGCAGGTTGTCTTATGTAATTATTTGTCAAATTCACACTGGGCAGTGCGACAGTGCGGGGCCATCCACTAACGAGCCACTGACACACGGTAACCGCAAAGCCACCGAAACCACCCACCTCAAACACCCCAACAGCCCAGCCCCCCATCGTTTCCCCGGGCAATCAATCAACAGCTGGCTCATTATGACAATCGAAGTATACTATAGATAGAATTGATCGAAAACGAAGCGAAACGAAAATGAAAATATGATGTAGCGTAGCCCAGTTTATATATATGATTGGACCTGGCAAATTGCTTAGTCAACCGGTCCGGGGATCAGAACTTCCGGCCGTGTCCGGCAATAGGAAATAATTATCTAATATTTGTGACAAATGCGGGTGCAGATAAGATTAAAGTTGCCATGCGTATTGAATTTTCCGCAATCGCCGAAAAGTATGCAGCCCTCCAGTTGGTAAATCCCATCGCATTACCATACCACCTTTCAGCATCCATAAACATTAATCTCCAATCCATTATGGTCCACATATAATTCACTCGAAATCGACCTATTTAGCTTTTTACAAACGGTTTTTTTTTGGGTTGATTAATATTACACTCTTTATTGATAAATTATGTGTTAATATAAATAGTGTTTTTAATTTTTTTCTCTTCTCTTTCGTTAAAAACAATTTGGCAAAGTGTATGCATTTATTTACTATAAATATCAGTATATCATTTAACGTCATAGTAGAGGCTAATTGTGCATTTAGTATACATTAAATCAATTCCAGGCAAATGCATTGAGTGGGAAGACCATTGATCAGACGCACATTCACACGTAACACTAAATACTATATATAAATGACATTTTATTTTTTCGTCTTGCCATATTCCCCGATTCCCCGTCCGATTGTTCAGATATTGGCCATAGGCGGGGCCTTGCCTGGGTTTTGCTCCCGCCCAGATAAGAGCTATCTGGTTTCTGTTATAGTGACTGTGTTTGGGGCGCTGAAGGCTTTAAATCGCCTAGATTTATTTACAATTAATTTTATTTGATTTGTCATACATTTCTCCGGCCCAAGTTCCTTTTGCATGAGACCTCAGACCCCAACTTATGTGCAAATACAGGAAAAACAATAGTTTTCTAAATTTTTTTATATATATTAATGTTTATGTTTTTGTTGCGATAATAAAGGTTTCTGGTACATAAGTAATATAGTTAAAGGTTCTAAACTCAAACATTAGAAAATTAAATTTTCTTTTTATCATTAAAAGGCAATTATTTTTATGTTACCCATGGTTATAAATTTTTTAGTGTAATTAATTGCTTCTGGTTTTTTTTATAAAATTACTGTGGCAGTATCTAAAAGTGTAGCTAAAGCAAATTAAATTTATTTTTAAGTTGGACAGTTATTCAACATTTATTTTTCCCGTGTATGCACAATATCATACTTATGTGTTTATGTGTATATCTCTCTCTATCTGTGATCTGCCCCCCCGGAGACCCGCGCCAACCCGCAGCCCCCTTGCTAATAGCTGTTGCTGTTGTTTTTGTGGCTGCTGCTCCCCCACATATGACAATAAAAACAAAAATACGCTCACTCATTCACACACTCATGCCGTCGCACTCACACCCTAAAGACACACACTCACACTATCGGTAACAGTAAACCCAACAAAGCGAATGAATATGAAAATTTTGCACAGAATTTTGCGCTTTGTTCTCCTCCAGTTTTTGATGTTCTTCTCTGTGTTTTTTTTTTCCGTTTGGTGGGTTCAAAGTTTTACAGCAGTTCGCACTTGTGTCGCTTGGGGCCTCGAACCACCGGACATAGAACCGATCGGATGGCCTCATCGAAGACTGTCTTCAGACCCTTTTGGGTCAGAGCCGAGCACTCCAGATATTTGACCGCAGCGATTTCCTTGGCCATCGCCAATCCCTGGGGATAGGTGATCGGCGTCAGTTTCTTATCCTTCAGCTTCTCGATCGTCTGCTTGTCGTCGCGAAGATCCAGCTTGGTTCCAACCAGGATTATTGGAACACTCGGGCAGTGATGGCGAACCTCGGGGAACCACTTGGCCCGCACATTCTCAAAGGAGGCCGGATTAACCAGTGAAAAGCAGATGAGGAACACGTCCGTCTGGGGATAGGACAGGGGCCTCAGGCGATCGTAATCCTCCTGACCCGCAGTATCCCAGAGTCCCAGGTTGATGGGCTTGGCATCCACCATCACATTGGCCGAGTAGTTGTCGAATACGGTGGGTATATACTCGCCGGGAAAGGCGTTGGTCGTATAGCTGATCAGCAGGCAGGTCTTACCCACCGCTCCGTCGCCCACAACCACACACTTGATGGCCTGCATGATGTATGCTGGATTAGAATGGATACGGTAATCGATGAATTCAGCCGCTCAAGAGGTCTTCGTATCTTCTCCAGTAGATCAGCTGGTTTTCAGTAGCTCAACTGGTTTTATGTATGTTTTTTGTGTAGGTAGTTAATTATAATGACTCTGTGGTACTTATTAAATTCAGTAGGTCAGCCAGTTTTTTAATGTGTTTTATATTTATTGTTTAATGTTATATATTGAAAAGGGGTTTTTGGTAGCTGCTTTCAGTGAGGATTTATTTCAGTTCCTCTTCCAAAATGACTATTTTGATTGTAGTTGTTTGGGCGTAATTACTGAGTTAAATACAAACTTTAGTCATTAGTTTTTGTTTTTTATTTTTTTTTTTTTCTGAATTCCGTTTGGCAGCTAGTTTTTCTGATTCTATAGCTTTTGGTTCTCGCGTTGGCGTTTCTGCTTTTATTATTTTGTTTTTTTTTGGCGATTATACAATAATTTGCTCACGCACAAATACAAATGCTGTCCATACACACACACACGGGTACAATGAGAGACATGCGAATTTAAAGTCCACTTCAAACTTCAGTTTTATTTGATTTATCACGAGAGTTTTTCAATCAATATTCTTAATTGAAAGCAGAACTGTGACGGCGTGCTTCCTGTTTGTCGGTATGGTATTTATGAATTAATTGAACCCGCATATGTGGATTTTCTAAGGCAGATACGGAAAAACACGCCCAAACGCTGTGAAATCTTCGCGGCGAGTGAAGAAAATTTCTGCCTCTGCTGGCAGTTGTTGTACTTGTTTTTTCACTGTAGTTTCCTCTCCCAACTTGTTTGAGGGCCACCCGACGTGTGGCTGTCTCGCTTGCTCGCATGCGCCAGCCGCTTGAGCCAAGTACTTTGCGCATACGCTCTCCCACACAAAGAGCGAGAGAGAGCACCACAGTGGCCTCCCACTAAATTAGTCACAGTGAGTCACTCCGGCGGTGACGTTAGTCGTGGCAATCCAGAGAGCAGTATTAGAGAGAACGAGAGAGAGAGATCGTGTGGGAGGGGGAGGCACTCTCTTCACTTGACCTTGCTTTGGTCTTTTTTGTAAATTTTCTATATTTGTTCGCCGATTTTCCATGAATTTCCCTGCCATCGCTTGTTGTTTTGAGCCAATTTCCACGCGACCAGTTTCAGAGATGGGCATTACCCAACTTAGGTACTCACTTTCTTTGGCTTATCTTGGTACAATAAACTTTTAGTGCCGCACCAAAAATAATAACACCGTTGATATAACGAGATAAATATTATTTATATCATTTATATGGGTGAATAACTGATATTGTGACGCAAGTTTTAAATAAAATTATAATTTTATAATTATAAACCATTTGTAAAAAAAAAAAAATTTTTTTTTTATTTATTAGTTTATAGTTGGACATTTTCAAGTAATGATTTTCACTCCATACTTCATACTTTACCCTATGAATGATAAATAAATCACTCGTCTATCACTAACCACCGTACGCAAGGGATATTTGCTGCCATTGACTGTTTTAATGGACCACAAAATTGCGTGTGTTGGCAAAAACCAAAACCCAAGGAACAACAAACAAATAACAACGGCAAACAACGCCAAATATCGACAGTAAAAACCGAAAACCAAAAACAGAACCCAAACAAAATCCGCCGCATCCGCATTCAGTTAAAAGCGATAGTCGAAAAATTTCGTATTTGTGTTTTGGCTTCCGCCTGTATCACCCCCCTGTGCCACGCCCATTTTTTGCATGGATTTTCACATTGAAAAGTTTAAAGAGCCGCCGGCGAATATTTTCGCGTTTAAGTTAATTTCTCGCACTGCTGATGTTGCTGCTGTAATTGGATAATTAAATAGGCGCCACAAAATTTGCTCTTCAGCAATTCGAATAGCCCGGCATGAATATGAATTTCAATAATATACATTTCAAAAAGTTTTTAATGGAATTTATTGTAAAAAATCGGCAACAATTAAATCGCCAATGAAGTCCGTTCAAGTGGAATAAATGTTTCTGTTTGTGCGTGGGTGAATCATTCGATTTCGTATTCGATTCCAAGTGGGTGGGAGGTGCAAGGTTATCTGCCGATCAGGGGTTATAAAAAAATCTAGGTTGGTATTTCAAAAGGGGAATAACAGACTATTTTCAAATTAATTATCAAATTACAGAGGAATTTATGATTTACCAATCGAAAGCTTTAATTACGTAGAAATGCGATAAGTACTAAAATTGTGGAGGCACTAATGTACCATTTTATGTAAGAGATATCGATGACAAAGCAAATCTCAAATTATTATTGCTATGAAAATGATAGCTGCTCGAAAGTCCGAAATAAAACAATTTATTTATTGTAGTGTATTTATATTTTCCATTCCTTTCTTATTGGTCAATGGCATTGTGGGTCATCGAAGGATATTTTCCAGTTAACAAGTGTTTTAAGGTGCATCCGCCACACCTCTAACATCCCATATTTTAGTTCTCACATAATTTTGGCTGCACTCATTTTCTGCTGTTTTTTCTTCCAATGCGATTTGGCATTACCGCTCCGGATGGTCTTGGACTTTTCAGAGACCTTTCGGAGACTGCGAGAACTGCGGGTACTTGGAGTACTGGGCATCCGCCGCACAGTGGTTTGCTGGGCTGATAGCAAATCAATAGTTAGTCTTATCGCAGAGTTGCTGGATTGACCGAATCGGGCCGTCAGATAGGAGGTCTCCTCGAACAAGCTCTTCTCCTCGGGACTAAGCGCCTGCCAGGCCTGGGCGGCTTCTCCAATCAGAGTCATCGCAGGTATTTCGGTATCATCGCACAATAGACGGTATTCCCGCAGAAAGTTGTACGGGGCGGAGTGGCTGATGAACACTGGCGATTTGGAACCAGTGCAATATTCGTTGACCATGGCGAAGCGAGGGAATGGACACAATTTTGATATAAATGGCGAGATCTTAAATTTAAATTTTACTTGAAATTTCGCAGAACGGTGTTATAGATCGAATCTTTAAGAATACTTGATTAAGACAGTTGCACACTGATGAAGATTTGGATGGCTGATCGCGTTGTAAAGTGTATTATTTCACAAACACTGGTAGAGTTCAGTGTAGTTAAATGTGTGTGTATGTGTGCACTGTGAGGAAATCGGTTAACAAAAATCTATGCCCTATTTCTATAAAAAAATTAAAATACAATACGCCACATTTAAAAATTTTTTAAAAATGAAAACTTAAAATATTTTTGGTATGGCCCAGTTTGTTAGTTATCACTTTTATTTAGAACTCTCCATGCGTGTTTACTGCTGCGAGTCTGTGTAGTAACTGAAGGATTTTATAGACAAGCTCTAATGACACAATTCGAAAATAAATTTTGGGCTACTTAGATCTGGAAATAACACTTTCAAATCGTATAAGTATAGACACATCTTAACGTTCAAAACAATCGCAATATATAATAATAGACCGGTTTATATTATGTTTAAATTCCAACGCATTAATAGAATTTCTTAACAGACGTTAAAATATATAATTTCAAACATTTGATATATTTTGGTTCGCTATAATGGTGATAAATGGTTGCAATAAACAATTTCAATTGCGAAAGTAAGAGTAAAAATTAAGCGAACTTGCATTGAATTGCAATGATAAACGTTGGCATATTCAGGCCTTTATCCGCATATCCTTATTACGACGTGTCCATTACGGAGTGGAAAATTGTGCAAATAATTAAAGCTAAAGAGCGATACATATGACAGGGAGTGCAACAATTATTTGATTACTGTCGCCGGGACTGCCAGTTGCCTGTTCAGTTCCCTTTGCTTTATAATTGGCGGAGTGATATATATATATACGTATTACGTACACCCACCCCCCAGTAATCGATCCAGGAATTCCATAGGAACAGCTTGCAGGCCATTATGCAGCGAGTTATTCATAATTGTTGTTGCTGCCCAAGTGGCAGGGAAATGCATAACAAACTGAAAAATATTCAAGCCATTTTTATTGCCACACCAGACGGACCGCACAACAGATATATATATATGTATGTACAATGTACATATAGGGACTGGCGATAATGAATGAATGCGCGCTAAAGAACCGCAGCCTGAACCGAAAAGAGCGAAATAAAACAAATACTGAAACTGCAACTGCAACTGCGAACAGAGGCTACAATAACAATAAATTAAACACTTTAACGGTCGTGCGAGGAGCGGCTGAATATAATATCCCGAAATCGCATTAAATTATAACATTACAAACGAACCAAATTATGTTAGAGTGGTGTAAGTTTAAATTGTGTAGCCGACTTTTAGGGTGGATTTCATTAATCTCAAACTGTAAAATTATAGCAACGAAATAATGTAGTTATTATACAATTTAATCAAATATAACTTTGTTTCCTATAATTGATTTAGTATTATATAGTTAATCTTCTGTATATTAAATTATATAAAATTATTTGATATTGAAGCTAAGCAGTCAATGATTTTCTTAGTTCTTGTAAGCAAGAATTCTAGAAATGATCGGGCCTATCGAATTAATTTACGTGTACATTCCTCGATTCCACGGTTTATAATATAATTAATAAAGTAATATAAGGGAAGGAGAATTTTTGTTGTACTTATTCCTTTTTTTTTTTTGGTTCCAGTTGAATTATTGACTACATCTTATTTCTTAGCTTATGCTGAAAATAATTAAAACAATAATTGTTCTTCCTTAGCAATCAAATATCTAAAAAGTTCGATACTCACGGATGTACACTCCAGATACTGACCGTATCCACTTTAAGTGATCGCTGACCCGGATGTGTATCGATGGATAACCACCGGAACAGTTGTCGGGCCTAAGGTGTATAACCCCGATCAGGGTGGGAGTGCCGTCGATCAGGGCCACAGCGCCGCCAAAGTCACCGTCACAAACACCCTTGCCGCCTTCGCCGGAGGTGCACATTTCATGAGTCTCCAAAGGGGGGTAATACTTGGCGCACTCCCTATTCGTTATGACCTTCACTATCGTGCAACGCATCCAATCGGGCAGCTCCCCATCAGATTTTGCATTTCCCCATCCACATATCACGGTCCTTCCTCCCGCGAAGCGTTCCAAAGCATTTGCGGAGCGTGGCACGCGTAACCGATTCAAGCGATAGTCGAACTTCTGATACGGAACCTTGACCAAGGCAATATGGCGCTTTTTGTCATAGTGAAAATAAAAGTTTTGCTTGTAGACCCTCAAAATGTCATAGCCCCAGTACGCTCTCTTTGAGCCGAGGTGGACCTCAATATACTGATACATAAGGACACCCCTGACTGTGAGGATCCATTGGTTCGAAATTATTGTGCCGGCCCCAAACTCAAGTGCAGACAATTGAGTTCTGGCATAGACGATCCCAACGAGGAACACGATCGTATAAGGTCTGGCTGGATAGCCACCGGCGATCCTGGGTTTAATTTTCGGTTTTGCACTGAACGACAAGATAATGAACGATAAAATTAGTAATGTCACGACGAGCCTCATCGCCAATCAGTATAACTCTGGACATATAACTTTGACTACAAACTAAGTTATGATATTCTTGGGTTTTTACTACCAACTGGGGGTGTAACGAACCAATTTATATGGAATGTTCCGTGTGGCCAATAATATTTTTAACGGTTTACTTTGTGTAAAGCTCACTTTTTTAATTTTTTATATTTTAGGATCCAATTTTGATGTTTTTTTATAAGAAACTATTTAATTTATAATATTTTTTATTAGTAAATCAATTAAGCTTTTTACATCTATAAAATTTATAATTTTAGCATAAATATAATTTTAACAGAATTAATTAACTTTTAAGTTTTGTTTAGTTTCTTATATTAATACTTAAGCAGAAATTGTTTACCTTCGTAATGGTATTTGCTTAAATTATTTGACTATTTATTATTTATCAATAAAAAGTTGAATATCTGGAGGTAATTAATATTATTCTGTTCGCTTCTCGTAATTGTAAAGTTCGAATTCCTTGGCGATTTAATTGCTTAAATACTTTTCCGATTTCCCGTTTCACTTTATTCGCTTGCAAATTTAATTTATTTAATGAGCAGCGCAATAAAACGCATTTACTGTCAAGTGATAAAATGGTATTCCAGCTTCGAAGCCCCATGTTTTCTTTTTTTCCCGCCGCCCCTGGCATATTTTTCATTTATATGTGGTCCACATGTCAGTAGCATTTTCCACCCATTTCCACAGCCTGTTGACATGCAGCAATTATTAACTTTTGTGCGGCTGCTGCCATGGCGCCGTGTGTTTGTTATTAATTTCTTGTTATTTATGCAAATAGTTGGCACTTAATACGCGTGCAAATATATTTAAATATTTGTTTCTGTTTTTCACTCACTCTCTTGCAAATTGCTTTGTGCATTGCGATAAATTAACAGCAAACAAAAAGCAACAATGATCGGCTGGTGACACGTTCTCCGCTTATCGATAATTTCGAGTTCCTTTATGGAATGTTAAACTTTTGAGCATGGACAAAGTATGAATTTCAGACCATGGAAGTACCGAAAGTTGGACTCGTTCGAGTCTGGTCTGGTCCGAGTTCCATAAACTCGGCAGAGTTATCGCCAGCAGACGTGAAGTCATCTCTGGGCACATTCTGATGCACTGTGAAAAAAAATTAGCATCTAAAAAAATATTACAGCTTTTAATAAAATTAAGGAATTTTAGGAATTAATATATAATATTTTAGGACATAGTTTCCTTCATTTTCTATGAACTATAAGTTGCGAATTTAAAATTCAAAGCTTACACATTTTCCTACTTTTGTTTATCACTATTCTACATATTTCTCTCAGTGCATGCATATGCATTGCCTGCTTTTCGGATCGGATTCAGTTTGGCTCGACGGGGGTCACGTCTGCGGGTCCTTGTTGGCCCGGTCTGCCATGTCCTGGCCCGACTTCGTCCTGTTTGACTGCTTATGAATAAAGTTGTTTGCTGGCTTGTCAATACACACATGGCATCATCATCATTCCTCCTCCGTTACCGCCCTCCCACCCCCTTTCAATTGGGGTTATTTGTCGCTCTATCTGGCCCCGAATCGGAGGGTGTGGGACCCCCTTTGTTGACTTTTCGGCTTTCAATGGGCCACGACGTCTATTCATTTTTTGTGCTGCGCTATTAGGGTTGCCATCAACACCCCTCCATTTGCCCCGAGCAATTTGAAATGAAAAGTTGTCTGCCGTATAAACATATGTAGAGATGGAAAAAGAAAACACAAGATGATACGGCGAGGTAGGCAGTAAATAGCAACAGGCGTGGTGACGAAATGTGTCCTTTGACATTTGATCGCTCGCCTCCGATAATCCTGACAGCATCGCATCGTTGGCTCTTCAACAACTCCGCCAGCTTAATGGCTTGCTGCATAATTTATAGCACATCGAGGTCCCATCAAAACGCTTTAACACGAACCGGGTGGCGAAAAAAAGACGGCTAAAATACTTGGAAAAGCTGCGGCGAAATGTAGTCCACAGAGTCGTTGACTTTAAGCCGTAGACAATGCGGGGCATTAGGCATCCATCCCGATCCTGAGCGGATGCAGCAAAAGTAATTAAACACTTTGTGGATGGGTCCATTAACTGGCCTATAAAGGTCATTCGTTAAAAATCGAGGTAACTTAAAGCCCAAATTAATAAAAATAATAATACCTGATGGCTAACAATATAATACTATATATTATATACTATACACAAGAAAAGAAATTGATACCACATAAGATCAAATCGATCACAGTTTCTTATCATGTTTTTTTTTTGGGTGTATCGAAGACCTTATGTGCACTTTTAGTCTTTAATTAGTTTTACTTTAGTTGCTTTTATTTTTTTTTTGAGAGCATTAAATCTCCGTCTTCTCCGGACTTCAACTCCTGTTTGTGTGCTTTTCCCTCACTCAATTACAAAGTTCAGCTCACATGTGCCCACAAGGAGTCGCCTCCTGTGTTGGCATCCTGGAGTTCTGCCTGCGACGACTTTTACTCACACACTTGCCACGAAGCGTCTTAATTTACTTTTGCGCTCAGGCGTCTGGAAAATAAAAGTGCCAACGGTGCCTGAGCCTTTGTCCTGGGCCTAAAGAAAAACTAGCGGGAAAATAGTGTGAAACGAGAGAACTACGGCAATTTCCTGCACATTTTCTAGCGGTTGAACTTGGGCTGTCGACTTGCTCCGTAGTGCAGTTAATTATAATTAAGCCGAGTTAACTAACCACTTGCTGGCACTTGGGAGAAACTCTACAGCCCCCCGTTCAAGTCCACAGGATTAAGCGCAGACACCTTAAATATATGTCAGCTAACGTTATGGCTGTCTTAATTAAAGTTGCGTTCATTAAAATGCCGACAGCCCCGAAAAGTAGGCCACCAAAACTGTTGCATATTCAAACATTTATTCAATACGCCTTCACCAGGGATTGTTACTTCCTGTGGTGGTTACAATTGTTGTGGGATTTTCACAGTGACGAACATCAGACTTCAAGGAAGCTGCAATGCCGTGCACTGAGGAAAATTATACAAAAAAATTACTAAAAAACTAACTAAGAAATTTAATACAAATTCTGTTCTCTAAATTTAGAGCCAGATTTCTCCCAGTTTTATTTGTAAATCTGTTAGAATTCAAATGTACGTAAGTCAAGCGAAAAGGAACTTATTTATTTAAATTCAATCTTATCAACACGGAACATCTTCCGTTTTTGTTCTCTGTGCTTTTGCCATCGGCGTTGTTCCTTCATTTGCAAGGACAATGCGACACAAAAATAGAAACCGTTGAATGAGTGAATGAATGCCTGAATGGGTGAATGAATGGATGGAAACCAGACAGAAGACTGGCAGGGCAGGCAGGAATGCCATTATAATAAATAAAGAGCCTTTCACTCATAACTGGCGCACAATGCAGCCAAAGCCATGAATATCCCAACTCCTTGTTACCCCTTTTCTGGTTCCTCCGTTTGATTTATGCCAAACAATGCGAAAAGGCTTTTAATAAAACTGATGGGAAAAGCTGTAGATACCGATCAATGAATATTTACCAACTGTATGCAGCTGCCGGCAATGTAATAGACTTCCGACGAATGTGAATGACTCGTTTTTCTAAATACTAAAATAAGGATAGAATACTGGGATTCACAGTTTATTATATCATTTTATTGGGATTACTACATCAGTTTAATAAGCTGTTAATTTGTTAATGATTTATATGCTTTTACAAGAACTTTTGTATCATCATCTAAATTCATGTAGCATTATATAAATTCACTAAAAGTCAGTTTTTAAATTTATAGTTATTTTTGCTGAAAATCATAGTTCATTCTGATTTTTTTCTGCATATCAGCCATTTCTCCCCCTATATTAGATTCAAGTTAAAGCGCCAAAAGCTTTCACAATTAACACCAACTGGCGCGCCCATAAATCCGCAATAAATTCCTAAGGGTTGGGGATTGCATAAAAATCACATTAACAATTTGCTAGTACACGAGTATTTTATTTTTATGGCTGCATGTTTTATTTTTATTTCATGCACGTCTTTTGTACATTTTAATGCCCTTTAACACCCACACACCCCATCACCCCCTCCCACGCACACTATGCAAAGGAGCCGCACACGCACACATTGAACACACATGTTGCCACAATGGTGTTGGTGGGTAGGAGTGAGAGGGCCGGAGTGTCAGACAAGGAGGCACTGCACTGTTGCCATCGAAAGCGCAATAAAAACGCTTAATTTTTCACTTTTACACGAGCGAGAGCAAAGTTTCTTTGTTGTTGTTGTTGCCACGTCGCTATCTCTTCTTCTTTTTATCCCTCTGCCTGCTTTTTTTGAAGCAAGGATAATGGGTGTGAAACTGGGAGAGTCCTTGTATGTATGTGCAGGCCATTTGAAAGTTATTTAATTTAATAACAAGCTCAAAACATGTTTCCAGTAAAAGAAAATGAGCATAAATATGAAGAGGTAATCGTGAAGGAAGTATATCTATAGATTATAATATAACCAAACCTTTGCGTCGTTTAACCAACCATCTTAAAGCAGATTAAAGTATTAACCGATGAAAAAGTTTTTTTTAATTAAAAAGGCATTTTTGCATTTTAATTGGCAGGCGCTAAGATAAAAATTCCCAAAAACAGCGCGAAAACGCAGAACCCGAGCCCACAAATAAATGAAACACAAATACGACCGTTGATATCCATTTGATTTTTAAGCCTGACGACAAACAAAAAAATATGCAAAAGCGAATGCGATTTTTATTTATTGTACGATGCGCTTTTCTCTTATTTTGCAGATTTTTTAACGATACCGCACAATCTGCAGCCGCTCACATATTTGGATTCGTTAAAAAGTGAAAAATCTGTTGCGGAGGGAAAACAATCGGACTGCAAATCCAATAAGCCGTCGACAAAAGCCCCGTCTAAGCCACAAAAAATAGAAGGAAAGGGAAATTAAACGCAGCATCGAAAACGAGGACAACAGAAGGGTTTTCGCCAGGATTGCGTTCTTGTATTTTGGACACACGTGCGCCGCGGCTGCGCCCGTGCCCGTGTCCTTGGCAGGACCTGTGACGTCGCCAGTAGGCTCCGGGTCCTCGACAGCCACCATGAAGCTCTCCAAGCTGTCCAACCAGACCAACTCGCAGGACCCGCAGGCGGTCAACTCGCGCATCTTTGTGGGCAATCTGAATACCTTCCAGTGCTCCAAAACGGACGTGGAGCGCATGTTTCAGATCTACGGCCGCCTCGCGGGTAAGTCCTTGTCATCCGACAACCAGCCTCCTAACTCTACTGACTCTCCTCTTATATCCCCCAGGCATATCCATGCATAAGGGCTATGCCTTTGTGCAGTTCACCACCCCATTCGATGCCCGAAATGCCTGTCACGGCGAGGATGGCAAGACGGTCCTTAGCCAGACATTAGGTAAGGATTTATATCTTTGACCCCGAGGGGTGCGTGTCCTGGATGTCCAGTGAAATCACATGAATGACACCTGTTTCTGAATATTTATTTTAATTTGTGGTGTTTTGACTGTCGGAATTTTTATGGTTAATACGTATGCAAACTTAGTTTCAGTTAATTTAGGGAAATTTTACAAAAACTTCAGACAAAATATACCCTGGAAGAACAAATTTTGTTTTGAAATAATCGAATTCGGTGTCCCAGTTTGAAGGTCTCAATTTAAAATAAATTTTACTTGGAAATAACATTTATTGGCCTTCAATTCAATTCTGGAAATTAAGTAAGGTTTTTTTTGGTAATTTTAAAAACTCTGGATAGATCTATGTCATAGTTTTATTAATATTGAAATATTGAAATATTATTATTGAAAATATTATTCAATAAAAATTTTTTTTTTTTTTAATCTTAAACAGAAGTTTATAGCTATATTTATTAGAATTGTTAGCCTTTAAAATTCCCACTACTTGTAGTTAAAAGTCAGCTTAAATCCGTGCAAAAAATCGGCGTGTGCCTTAAAATCCCCGCTAACGAAGGCTGCTGCTTTGCATAGACATTCCAGACCTTAACCCTCGTCCTCGCCTGGGCCAAAGTTGCATGTCCGTGGGATATCGCCAGTTACGTGGGTCTTCTGAAAGGAGTTCCGGGGGGGCAGAGGGATTCGTCAGGTTAATGGCCGCCGGCAGCGGAAGCGTTGCACTAAAATCGAACAAACGCGCGAAAAAAGCCACAAAGGCGCCGTGAGGGCGAAGGAAGGTGGTGCGGATGGGTCGGTTTGTCCTGGCTTATGGCTTACATAGTTGGCAATAGTAATGAAGGAGCCCCGACGATCCTGGCATGTGTAGTGGCCATATCTCCAGGCACCCTCCGCACTAATGTCTGAGTATTTCGACGGGCGGAAGTCGCTGCCGGCCGCAAAAACTTAAAGTGCGGCCGACATAAATCTTGGCACGATACTTTTAATGAAATTTCAATGTTGTGCCAGCAGACAGTCGACTGTCTTGTGTATCTGCCTTTGCCCCGACTATCTGAATATATCTGACTATCCGACTATCTGACAGTCTAGCAGTCGTTCGGCGTTTAATGAAATAATTCAACGCCAGTTGCAGCTGCCATGTTGACGGTTCTGCGAGGCTTCTCTTCTTCCCTTTTTCATATTTTTTTCTTCTTCCTCCAGTGCGTATGTCTCGTGTGGAGAACAAGTTAATGCACTTAGTGCTCTGTGTCAGCTGATGATGCTTCTGCTGCTGGCGGCAACGCTGCGGATGCTTCATATTCATACGCCCCGTTCGCCGGCGAACGAAATGGAAAATACGCAGATCTCATGAAAAAATACTACCGCTTATGCAAATGCGAATTGCTAAATGTGGAATGCTAATTCCACTGATTAGGAAAAGGAGAGCCAACAACGAAGTGGCCGGCGTAATATTTCATTGCTACGCGCCATTGACTTTGAAGCGCTGGGAAATGCGGCCAGGCCAACTAAAGCGATTTACACTGGGGGAAAAGGGGGGTTGGCTGGCTGGAACTTGTGCAAATCCTTCTTACGCTTTTATCCTTAATCTTAATTATAGCCTGCCAGCCCAACAGTCGGACAGTGAGGCGGGAAAAGGAAAGCACAAATAACAGAAAGAAAGCCAAGAAGAAAATAGAGCAGCTGAAAAAGGAAATCTCAAAGCCATCACGCCCGCTTTTCTGTTTTTTTTTTTGTAAAAACCAAACCCACCAATTTGTAGATAGCTCTTGGTTCCCATGAATTTTCCTCCTTCTATTTTGTTGTTTTTTTGTAAGGGATTGGAGGCGCAGCCGTCGCACTTCAAACTTTGTCATGAATTATGATGAACGAGCGTGGGCTGCAAATGGATGTCCTTTCCCCTAATCCTGGCTTCCTGCAAATAGCTATGCATATAAAAACAGCCTCTGTCGCACCCTTTTCATTGCAAATTCAAATGCGGTTACCATTTAAGAAAATATTTGTATACTCTAATTAAATAAAACGGGCAGAACTTTTTAAATCATTTAGAATATATAAAGTCTTTAAAGTCTTTAAAATCTCAGTATCTTTTTAATTTTTTAAGCGCTTCTGTCGCAAAATCGTTCGCTTAAAGTCTTTTAAAATATTTTTTTTAAAAATTTAATAAAGAAAGCATATTTCTAGTAGATACTTTTTAATATAATTTTGTTTAAACTTATTATACCCGTTACTCGTAGAGTAAAAGGGTATACTAGATTCGTGCAAAAGTATGTAACAGGTAGAAGGAAGCGTTTCCGACCCTATAAACTATATATATTCTTGATCAGGATCACTAGCCGAGTCGATCTAGCCATGTCCGTCTGTCCGTCTGTCCGTCTGTCTGTCCGTCTGTCTGTCTGTATGAACGCTGAGATCTCGGAAACTATAAAAGCTAGAAGATTAACATTTTGCATGCAGATTCTTGGAGTTCCTACGCAGAGCAAGTTTGTTTCAAAAGGGTGCCACGCCCCCTCTAACGCCCACAATCGCTTAGATACGATTTTAAAAATTTCAATATTTCGGAAAAGTAAAAATGCAGTTTTATGGTGTTTATCAATACCTATCGAAAAGTAGAAGAAATTTTTTAAATCGGACCATTCGTTAAAAAGTTACGGCGGATCAAAGTTTTTATCTCCACCTCCTTCGCACTTCCTTTAGCTGAGTAACGGGTATCTGAAAGTCGGGGCACCCGACTATAGCGTTCTCTCTTGTTGTTATTTATTTTCAATATTTTTAAATTTTTCTAAGCTTATTTCCCCCTATATCTATACCATCGGCATAATTCGTTTTTATGCTTTAACAAGAACTGACACTGCAGCGCACTTTTATTAAGACTAATGATTGGGTTCCAGCGAGATTGAATTAACCGAGGAATGCAGTTGGCCAATGGACATGCACATAGGAAAAAAACAAAATTTTTAATCACTCACAGCTCGTCTATTCATTTGCCTAATGAAAGGAGTGAGGGGTGATAAAGGACTGCCTTTGAGGTCCCGGGCTCTTTGTATACTGCTTAGACAATGGCTTCAAAGGACACTGAATTTTTGTACTTATTTATATTTTCGGGATATAAAGCAGATTGCCTTTTATCATTAAGAATTTCCCATTCCCTTAATATCTTTTGCAGATGTCAACATGGTGGCCGAACCGAAAGCGCATCAGATCGGAAGAAAACGGCAGAATGTGAGCAAGACCGGAAACGATTGGTAAGTCTCAGGCAGAATAACCAAAGACTTTATCCCGGAATTCCCGACAATATTTGGCTCATTTCAATTTAATCTAAAAGTTAACTTTGCTCAATTTAACGCCGCCATGTGGCATTCACTTAGAATTTATTTACATATCATTTAACGGTTGGGGTTTTCGGGTGTTTTGTTTCGGAGTTTTCTGGGCTCCGCAACGCACAACAAATAAATAAATAAATAAGAAAGCATTCATCAGGCGATGGGGTCGCCCTTTGTTTCAATGCCCGTCCTGCATAAAATATTTGGCTGTCAACGGCTAGCCGTTGGGTTTTTTGCACCCAACCGGAATACTTCAGGCCAAGTTTTCGTCTCCATTTCTCCATTTACTTTCCGCTTTTCGCTTTTCGCCGGCGAGGGTCAGTTTGGTGTTCGAGTGCTGCGTCAACACACACAGTATATGTGGGTATCCGTATCCTGTGGATCCTGTGAGTGACAGTTGCAATGTATGCCATAATGTCCTGGCGCTGACATGTGCACTTGTTTGTCTTTGTCGTGGCGCGACGGCCTTAATGATGACTGAGCGACATTCACAATTTATTTGGGCCTTGAGCTCCAGATCCATCTGAATCCCCGCCACTCGTGTGGAAATATTTAATTTAAGCTTAATGACGCCGAAACGAAATGCGTTGCGCGTTGGCTTTAAAAGGACATCGAGCAGGCGGAGGAAACCCAACTGACAGCGACTTGATTGTAATTAAAACGCAAACATGTCAGCCCCCCGCCGTCTATCGAAAACCATATATCCAGGTGCTCTCGTGTTTGTCATTAAACGGCTGCTCACCTTTTCCCCCATCATCCTCCCCCCCTTTGACCACACACAAACTGACCGAAAAAGCCGCAATTGTTGCCCACTCACCCTCCCCCATCATTTGACCACAATTGGTTGGCTTCATCGGAGTGGGGTTCGTCCTGTTTCGGCATTTGTATCAATCACTGGCAACATAACCCAACGGGAGGGCCGGCACACAAACACAATTGCCAAATGACAATTCAAGCGGCGGCAATGGCAGCCTAAACAAATATTGACAGACTGATGGGCGGGTTGAGGAACTGACGGACTGACAGTGCGGTCGGGCAACAGTTGGCAGGTTGTTCATTTCGGGTTAATGAGAGGGTGTTTGAATTGAGGGGAGCATTTTTGTTAGGTAGGAATTATTGGCTAAGAATTAAATAACATTTTATTTGGTATCGAAGATTGGGAAATATATTTAAAGCATAGCTCGCAAATAACTGTTGACCGATTCGTCCGGTCCCCAAATAACTGTTTTTCTCTGAGACTTTGAGCAAACAATCAGAGAGCAACCGATTGAATTGTTCGTACTGAAATTTTGCTCGCACTCAGCCGACGAGCAGTTTTTTCGGCTTTCTTTTGCTCGGCTCGCTTACAGACCGATTGCTCCTGAACGACGTTTCAAAAAGTCTTTTGTGCATGTGTTAACGTTAACGTGCTTGGGCGATATTGCTCTCCCTTTCACTCGCACGTACTTTCAAAGGGAATACATTGTATAGTTGTATTAGTGAAAAGACTTTTTGCGATGACTTTTTCAGTCAATCGGTCTTTTAATAAGTCTCCCTGTGCGAGCAACATTCGTATCTCTCATTGAACGAGGTTCGTAACAGAGCGTCTCACGAACAGCTCAACGTAAAAGGCTCAACCGAAAACCAAAACGAAAGGAAACGAAGTGTGCTGCGCAGAGAGAGAACGAGGTGCATGCTATTTTTCGGTTGTTCTCGGGAGTAGAGCGTAAGGAAAAAAACGGTTAACAGTTATTTGCATGCTTTGATTTAAAGTAAAGAACTTGGAACAATAAAATTTAAAAGTAAATTTTAAATCGTCATTTTCTTTTCAACTTTTTATTTTTACTTTTTGTAATTATACAGGGTATACACAATTCGTTGCGTTTGCACGAGAAGAACTAAACTTTTTCCTGTACTTTTGGAAGCCTGACGTTGCTGACACTTCAATTAGCGAGCAAATATTTACTGAGCAGATTACAGCGTCTAAATTGCCATTTATTTCCTTAATAGAGTGACAAACAAAATTGATTATTAAGGAACTCAAATATTTCGATATTAAATTAGGAAATATTAAACTAGGAAATTAATTAATATATTTAATAATATATATACTATTTTTCCTTATGCAGGGACTACTTCTACGACAGCTACTGCTCCTCGGCGCTGTTGCGGGGCAGCGGCGGTGGTGGTGGGGGCGGTTCGAACGGAGTGCGGGCCAAGAAGCGAAAGCGCCTTATGACCAACGGCGGCGGTCTGGCGGTGGCCGTGCAACAGCAACAACAGCAGCACGGCCAGCATCATCACAGTGCGGCCGCAGTGGCCGCTGCAGCGGCGGCAGCAGTCCATCAGCAGCAGCAGCAGGCGCAGCACCAGCAGCAGCAACACCACCAGCAACAGCAGCAGCAGCACCAGCAGCAGGTGGCCGCCGTTGCCATGGCGGCCATGGCCAATTTGTTGCCGCAACAGCAGTTGCTGCTGCATCAGCAGAATCTGCTCTCGAATGCGGCGGTGGCTACAACGGCAACGGCGGCGCCGGGATCCCTCCACTGGTCGCAATACAAACAGGAGCAGCAGCACCACCCCCATGCGCATCCGCACCACCCGCACCACCAGCAGCCGTTCGGATTCCAGTTGAAGAGCAGCGTGGCTGTCCAGGCGACGACATCGCCGCAAAATGCAAAGTCTGCAATAATTGCTAATCAAACGGCGCTCGGCGAGCCATATCCGGTTGGAGCTGCCGCCGCCTTCGCCACCCATCAGCATCAGCAGCAGCAACATCAGCAACAGCAACATCAGCAACCGTTGCTGCAGCCGTTGACTCTGGCATTGTCCCCACAGCAACCGCAGCCTCATCAGGCGGCAACGCCACTACAATTGCACAGCCAATTGATGCAGCAACATCAACAGCAGCAGCAGCAGCAACAACAGCAGCAACAGCAGCAGCAGCAGCAGCTACAACAGCAGCAACATGCTCAGGAGCAATTAAGTTTGCATCAGCAATGGGGACCATTCAAAGTCTACAGTGAGTATTGACTCTAGTTTGCTCGGGAGGATGCTGGAAAAGCTGAGGGATAAAGACAGAAAAGTATATTTTAATGATTGTCTGTGGTTTCACCTTGGGAGTTGCCAAAAAATAGCAGTAAGCTTTTAAGGGGCAGTAAAATAGTGGTTGTACTTCCTCATTTTACCTCAATTCTTAGGGTCAGTAATAGTAATATAACAGAAGGAAGATAATAAAATTTAGTAAAAATTAAATTAAAATCGTAATGGATTTTTTCTAAAATATTTTTTTTTTATTAAAAATGATTTAAAATTGAGATCATCATGGGAAATTTAAAAATTATTTTATTTATTATTTAGTTTTTTATAGAGAAGTTTTTAGCAAACTTAGTTTTTTATTTTATAGGGCAGTTTATATTTTCTGAGTCCATTTTTCTCTCAAATTTTCTTTACAAATTATTTTATTCAATATTTTTTGTATATTTATTATTTTGTTTTTTATTTTATTGGGCAGTTTATATTTTCTGAGGTCATTTTTCTCTCACCTCTAAACTTTATAGCCTTACGATTAAAGTCTAGTTTTCCTGTTTTGAAGTGTCAAAAACAAAGGTTTTTGAAAATGAGAAATGTGTCAACGTGAAGCGCGTGGCCCAGCTCTCATCGTCTTCCTCTCAGCCATTGCAACCTTACTCGGTGTCGTCCAGGGTCAACGGCAGGTTATGTCCTTGCCCCTGGAGGAGGCCCCGCCGCAGCAGCGTCTGCCGCCGGATTATGTGAAGGGAGTGCTCAGCCTGAAGAGCAGTCTGCTGGCCAATAAGCCCGCCTTGGGTTACGGCTCTAATCAGCAGGTGGAGAACGGCATTCGATCCGGCGGGAGGTATACACCCCAGCTGGATGTGCAGCAGCAGCCGCAGAATCCGCAGAGCCAGCAGCCCCTGCAGGAGATTCAGGTTGAGCCCGTTGCCAATCTGAGGCCATCTGCTCATCTAGCTCACCGACCCCCTATTCACTCCCAGATGCCGCCGGCCAAGTTGAGTCGCTATAACCAGGAGTTTCCCGCAGCCCACCTGTTCCAGCCGCCCTTTGTGCCGCTGCCCAAAAAGCAGGAGTCGCAGGATGCCCCGCCGACGGCCGAGCAACTGGAGTTGCTGCAACAGTTGTCCGAGTTTTTTGGCCAGCGGCAGCAGTGGCAACAACAGGTGCAACCGCAGGAGACCGTCAACTGTGCTCAGATGGATCAGAATGAGGGCAAGGGACAGTGCGAAGCTGAAGTGACTACCGACTGTTGTGATACCACGAGGGAACCCAATAAAAATGAGGACGAGGATTCGGTTACTGTGGATGTGAAGAACAAGGAACCGGAAGAGAGCACCACCACAGCCCAGCCGAAGCCTCCAGTGGCCCCGAAAACAAAACCAACCAAGCCAAGTGTCACCAAGACCACCACCCACAAACCCCTGACGACGCGTACTACCAAATCAACTACCAGAAAACTGCCCTGCTGCACTAAGCCACGTAATCAGGGCATTGCAGAGGCGCCCAATGTCATTAGCTTTTCGCTAAATATCCAAAATGATAATGCCGAGCAGGCAAAGTCCCTGCAACAGCTACCTCGAACTGGTCGACATGTGATTCAGCCCGATTTACGCATCAATGCCATCACAAACTTACTGAGATATCGCAGAAAAATAGCTCAGGGTGCAGTTAGCACCTATCCCAAACCCTTTTCCCCTTTAAAGGATCAAGAATTGCAGGATCAAAAGAGTCGAATGAAACGAAAAAGAGACAAGATCCTGGACAAAAAGCAGCTACTTCAGGCTGAGCTTAAAATTTGGCCCATTAGCATACGATCGAATTTGGTGGAACGCTTACACTGAGTTATAAATAAATATATATTTTTTAAAGCGTTGAGATAAATAAATATTTTAGAAAATATTTTGGAAAATATTTTAGAAAATATTTATTTACTAAACTAATTGTTCGATTGCGGGGGTGCCACAGATCGCTTTTTTTTTAAATCAGTTTTATAGGTGTCTAAAAGTATGCAACAATATATTTTAAGGTCGTAAGTTAAATGTATTCAGTTGGGAAGATGACTATTATTTTTCGCAGAATACTTTCAGTCATTTATTTTTTCATTTGAAGTATGAATTAAAGCAAACATAAATATTTGGAAGCATAATTTAGGTTATTAAAAAATAAATAATGAAGGCTTACTTTTTCCAGACCTTTTTCGACTGCCTTCCCAATATTTTCAACATATGCTCAACCCCCTTCCAATTCCTTTTGCATATTCGCAGGCAATCCGGACACATTAATCTGCGGCAATTGCCGGGAATCCTTTGGCGAGCTGTCTGAGTTATTGGACCACAAGAAAAGTTATTGCAAGCTGAGGTTCACATGCAAGTGCCAGGATGTTGCCTTTGCGGCAAGTGCAAGTAAGTAAGGGCGCTCCCCTTTTCGAGGGAGTGGCGACTTGTCTGTCTGTCGGCTGGCAATTAATTTATGATTGTTAAACACTTTTTGCCCTTGCCCCGGCCAAAAGTGTTTGTCTAAGGCTGCTCTCTCTGTTTGCCAGTCAGCAACATCTGCCGGCCCGGGCGGCAGGATCAGGATGTCTGCGGATATTCATGTCCTGCGGCTGCTTGCAAATGCATTTAAAATTGAGTTATTTATGCGCCAGAGCCTCCGATGCCTGTCCTTGTGCAAATTCCAACTTAAATAACTAATTAATTCTCGCATGTTTCGCCCCTCTCTCTGGATATTCAGAGACTCCGCCGACGAGCGCCAAATTGCTGTGCGCCGTTTGCAAGGATGCGTTCGCCAATCCTTGGGATTTGATGGTCCACGCACAGGCCGCCCACATGGTTAACATTTACGAGCTGGGCGATGATGAGGGCAACCCCACTGCCGCCGCAGCAGCCATCACCACCGACAACAACAATATTGCAACGGCAGCCGTGGAGAATGGACATGCAATCGCTGATGAGACTGCCGCAAAGCAGCAGATGCCGCAAATGCAACCGGCCTCATCAACACTTAACAAGGAGCCCAATAACAATAATAAAATTAGCAACAACAATACAGAGGCCACCAACAACAACAATGGCCACATGTCGCCCTCGGGAACAGGCATCATTATGGCATCTTCTGGCTCATCGGCATCGGCCGACAATGGAACGGCCAGCGACATGGAGACCAACTGCCAGCTGGACATCAAGTTCAGCCCCAGTGCCAGTCCCAAGGAGGTGGGTGATATGGCTGACCCCTCACCGCCTGGCAGAGACTCCCACTCCCTAATGATTCTCTTGCAGGATCAGCACAGGGACGATCTCTCGCTGGACGGGCGCATGTCGAGCAGCTCCCAGCAGACCCATCACTCGGATGAGCTGAACGTCAAGTTGCTGAACGGCTCCGTCTCCTCGAGGGGCAGTTCGCCTGGGCTGGAGGCGGATGAGCCGCCGGCCACCAGGGCTTGTATTGTCCGCACTCTGAGCATTGTGAGTATGGAAGATCCTTGGAAGATTGCTTACATAAACTTGTATGTGGGGTGATATAATGTAGAGTCTCTATTGGTTTTCTAACACTGTTTGGTATAAAAATATTGGCTTAGCCATTAAAAAAACACAAGGTTCTTGAAATCGTTTATAAAGGTGCTTAAAAGTATGCAACACTATTTATTAATCCGAAAATGCAATGTATTTATTTTATCTATGGTTATACTAGAAGTCTCTATTGCATTTCTAAAACACTTTGGTATAAAAATATTGGTTTAGCCATTAAAAAAATGTGTTCAATTGTATGCAACCCTATTTTTTAGTCCGGAAATCCAATGAATTAATTTTATCTGTAGTGATACTAAAAGTGTCTATTGGATTTCTAATACACTTTGGTATGAAAATATTGGCTTAGCCATTACAAAAACACAAGGTTCTTGGAATATTTGATAAAGGTGCTTAAAAGTATGCAACACTGAACCGGAAGTCCGAAGTAGGAATTAAGTTACAAAACTTATTGTATTTTACTGCATACTTTTAAACACCTTTTTAAGTGGTTTTAAAACCTTAGTAAATTCTTTTTCACTCTCCCATATTAAATTGTTTAAAAAATATTAAAATTTATAGATATCTAATACATCTTCATCTCCGTATCCTTCCATTTACAGGAGGCAACCGGCCCAGCCGCTGCGCAAACTGCCAACGCTTTGAGCTTGATGTCGAACAGCTTGAGCCTGGCCCTCGCACCGCAATAGGTCCAAGGTCAAGAGGAGCTCCTGGAAAGGACAAGCGGGCTCAGAAGACTCCTTTTGGAGTGGTGTTTTGTGCTATCGTCATCCGATACAAGTGCAATTTCTTCAGTATTTTTGTAACAGACTAATCCCGGCGGGAAGTTAATAAGTCAGAGGGAAGCGAAGGGGAACGAATAACGTAAATTACAGCAAACATATCATTTTAAATTAGCCATAGATATGACAAGCGAGCAGCTAAATATATAGTGTACTACGGTAGCTATAACAATTACAGCCCATGTGTACGTTTATATGTAATGTAATGTATTTGTATTCGTAATTGTAATTGTAACTGTAATTGTAAACGCCTTTGTGTTTGTGTTGTTTGCATGTCCTTTGGGTTTTGCGTTTCAAACGGGAGAGTATTTATTTATTGGGTTTCAAAACTGCATAAGTGAACGTATAGGTAAAAAATATGGAAAGCTTAAGCTGTCAACGCCTGTCGGCAGTGCGAATTGAACGGTAATCGAGCTTTGTATATAGTTAATACCAATTGCAAGGATACAATTTACGGAATTATAAGATCATTGTTATTAACCGGACGTTTGTCCGGCGGCGGCTTTAACCGATGTTTATATTTTCGATATAATTTACGGAACAAATTAATCGTAGTCGGTAGCAAATTAACCCACGCAAATTGTATATCAAAAGTAGCATAGTGACAACAGGTGTTTCAAAAACAAATTCGGAGAAACTTGCTATACATTATCATCTAGAACCATAATCAAATATGCGTAATATTAATAGCGACTGTATTCTGAAATAACTATATCAAAAGTAGCTGCTATGTAAATAGGTTAATCAACGTATTATGTACTTACCAAGCAAACAATTTGTAAACAGTAACAACATTCAATTCAATGTCCTCCAGCTAAAGTATATAAACCAACAAATGAAATGTATTATGCAAAATGAGAATACCAAATATATATTAATATATATAAAACGATACTTATTTCACCCAGTCTTTTAATGGTTTTTGGAAAAACGGAAAATCTATACTAAAGTAAGTTCTTTAAATCACAGTCTCATTTTGGGCCAGGTATAAGAAATTCTATTTCGCAGCTCATTAAAATAAATGATCGCCAGACTTTGCCAGACAGAGAAGTGTGTAAATGTTTACGGCTGGCAAAAGGAACAGGTAACAGCAAGTGCAAGGACAATGCCAACATTGTTGAAGGCAGAGTCACAATAATGAAAAGCCCCAACAAAGGCTGAGTTAAGGTGGGCCACTCACTCTCCCCCTCCTTTTCCGTTCCCGTTTTGGTGGCAGTTTCCCAGGACCTCCGAAAAATTTAGACACAATGCCCCGAATGCAGTTGACTTTATTAAAATGCGCACCCAAAATGGTCGCATCATGTTGCCTTTTTTTGTTGTGTCCTTGCCGCTGGCCACTGCGATTTTTCACTACTCTGAATAACGGATACTTAAAATTGACAAACATTTTGGTAGTCGAAAGTTTTTTAAAAATGCTAGAATCACCTTTGAAAAAGTTTTTAAAATTAACATATTAATTTAAAATTTTTGATTTTCTCTTTATTGTTCTTTATGGCTTTAAATCAGCAACATACTTGAACTAACATTAATCAGCATTGGAGATTAAAATATTTTTACTTTTTGGGGTCTTTAAAACGGCTATTTAATTTTAGAATGGTTTCTCTGATAAATTAAAATATCAAGAATTTGTTTGGATAATCTCTTCTTAGAAATTTTTCTCCTAATCGGAGAATTAATATTTTTAATTCGGATATTTAAAAATTATTTAAAATTGGTTTCTAAGGAAAAAATGAATGAAAAAATTACAATTGGAATAGATTACGGGGTATTAAGATAAGTCTAGCCATTTTTTTCTACATATTCAATAGTAAAAGAAGCAGCTGTAAAACTGTTAAGAAATTTACAAAATTGTAATGGCCTCAATTTTTAAAATGAAAAAAATAGGTGCTTCATTTTATACATATAAAATATAATAAGTCAACCTACTAACTTATTTAGCATAAAAAAAATATGATAGTATAAACCCTTGATTTAACAGTTAGAGTATATCCAAGTCACTAGTAAAAATCCGGCAGCTTTTCCGTTGCGGCCTCGTGTTTAACCTGAGGATTTAACTCGACATTGTCGGCGTCTGCAGCCGTTTGCCATTTTGTTTCGAGGTCGAGTTAAGCGCCTGCAGTCAAGTGGCGTCGAGCGGAGGCCGGGATTTAAAATGCATTAGCCCGTTTCGCCGGGAAGTTGCCGTTTTCAATTTGGCCATGGCCATTCGGCTGCACCTGCCGCGGTGGCAAGTTGCAGATGATGAGGATGAGGATGTGGTGACCCGGGGCTTGGCGAGCTTAAAGTGCGCGCTGGCTAATTAGAATGCCCCGCCTAGTGCAGGCTCAAAGGTAACATTTAACCGAGGCAATGGGTCAAAGTTGACAATTACGTTGGCGGGATGTTAAGGGCAAACCCCCCCCGGGACTCCAGGGCTCCAGAGCGAGCTTGCAAATTACGCCAGCTTAGCGAAATGAAGTAATTGAAACGCCACAGCCGAAAAATACGTGGAAGTGGTATGCATGCCGCAGTCACAATTCTCCGGGGCTCTCCGAATTACCGACTTCCCAGGGCAGCCGCACCCCGCTGAACGGAGGGTATATAAAAGCAGTAGTCTTGCGTGCGCACCGCTGACTTGGTCAACGCATCTCCAGGACGACGGACCGGATGTCGACGGACAGCACACAACCCCATACGCCCAGTCACGAGGTGGCGGTCCGTCCGCCGCCCTCGGCCGCCAACCAGTGGAAGCGGGCCGCTTTGATGGCCCGCATGGCGCCGGCATTCCGGGAAACCGTATCCGATGACAGCGAGGACGAGGTGGACACCAAGAAGCAGATCAAATACGGCAGCGGCTTCCAGGCGGCCAAGGCCATCATACACGAGTACTGCGACTACACGACCATCCATGGCATCCGGTATCTGGGCGAGAAGAAGCGACCCTGGCTGGAGCGCCTCTTCTGGATCAGTGTACTCGTGCTATCCGTTTTCACCTGCGTCAAGCTGACCCTGAATATCTGGGACAAGTGGAACAACAATCCGGTGATTGTCAGTTTCGCCGAGAAGTCGACGCCCGTGTGGGAGATTCCCTTTCCCGCCGTCACAGTTTGTCCAGAGACCAAAACACGACGTGCGATATTCAACTTTACGGATTCGTATCATCAAGTGCGGGATTTCGGCAATAATGTCAGTGGCATTTCGGACCTTACCGATAAGCAGTAAGTTTTGGGTTGCGAGATCTTGATTGGACTGGGTTTATATGGTATTTTTTCCTCTTCATAGAAAGGGACTTTATGGCGCTGTATCGCAGGTTTGCGAACCCCACTTGCATGATGTAACGCTGGGTAATAAAACCAGGAGGGGCATGGAGATCATCGACGCCCTGACTGAGGTGTCGCCCCATTTCGATGACACCTATCTGAATTGCAAGTGGCGAAATACACCTATTAAGTGCAATGAGATATTTCACAAATTCGTGACGGAGGATGGCGTCTGCTTCAGTTTTAATTCTCTCAGTCCGGCTGAGATCTTTAGGGCAGAGGGGTAAGACTTCCTATTTAGCTTACGAAAAAGTAGAAATCTGATTTAGAAGACCCGTTCCAGCATTATACCCGACTTTATATTCCGTGAGGAGAACCGCCTGTCCATGGACTGGAATGTGGAGGACGGTTATAGCGCCAGTGCGGATACTTCACCGTATCCAAATCGAGTTCTGGGTCCCGGAGCTCGAGCTGGTCTTTATCTATTTATGGGTGGAGCGGAAATCGATTTCGACGACATGTGCCGTGGTCCCGTTCAGGGTTTCAAGGTGAGGGTCTCATAAATATCCCTCAACCAGTGAGTAATTAAAAAGTAATTATAATTATCATTAGATTCTACTACACACCCCTGGAGATGTGGCCCAGGTGTCCAAGCAGTACTTCCGCATTCCCTTCGACCAGGAAGTGCTCATCTCCATTCGCCCCAAAATCATTACCACCTCGGATGGTCTGAAGCACTACGAGCCCAATCGAAGGCAGTGTTATTTCCAAAAGGAAAGGGAACTGCGTTACTTTAACATCTACTCGCAGAGTAATTGCGAATTGGAGTGCCTGGCTAACTTCACCTTGACCAAATGTGGTTGTGTTAAGTTCTCTATGCCACGTAAGTTGATTCCACACTGTCCATGGGGATTTATTTAATTAGTTTTTTATACCCTTGTTTTCAGGTAATGTTAATATGCCTGTTTGTGGTGATGCCAGCTTAAAGTGCTATAACCAAGCGGAGGACGAGCTGCTGCTCAGGGAATTCACCCAGGGTTTGGTTAACGCTGGGGAGAACACTCGGGGCGAAACTGAGTGCAACTGCCTGCCGTCTTGCACTTCGATCGCCTACGAGGCTGAGATTTCGCAGGCTGACTTCGATTACAAGACGGTGATCAATACTGATACGCCGGAGGGAAAAGCGGAACAGGAAAAGAGAAAGGGGTAAGTTAAAGAGATTGGAAAGGGTTTTAGGGTGGAAAATTGTAGCCTATTAAGTAAAAAGTATTTTACCTACATATTTAACATTTTGGGCTAATAGCAATTTATTATGAAAATTTAAAAAAGTTAACTTTTCCCTTTTTTAAATAAATTTATTAGTTTTGCCAGGAAAGTTGCCTTACTATTTTTCTAATTTTGACTAAAAAAATCGTATATTTTAGCATGAAAATGTCCCGAGTGTCGATCTTCTTCAAGGAGGCGCAGTTCTTGACCTCTCGGCGCTCAGAGCTCTATGGTACCACCGACTTTCTTGCCAATTGTGGCGGTCTACTTGGCCTCTTCATGGGCGTTTCCATGCTGAGCATTGTGGAGCTGATCTACTTCTGTACGGTGCGTCTTATTTCCAACTTAAGGATGCGCCGCAAAACCCGCAAGGAACTGCTGAAGGCGGTCAACAAGGACGCCTAATCGAAGGACCTCCATTCGGCAGGGGCCATAAATAATACAGAGTGCTGAACCGAAAGCCAAAGTTGAGCTGACTCTGCTGCTCTGTGTTTGTGTTGCGTTAAATGTTAAATCTGCAAACAATGAAAATAAAGTTGTACTCAGCACTAGACGGCAAATGCAGTCCTCTGTCTGTTCCGATACGACCCGCATATACTGCCGAATCTCTTCTCTGTGTGTGTGCATTTGAAATGGAATCAATTATTTTATTGTGTGATTTGCTGCTGCCTTCGATGCGTTGCGATTCGATTCCGAAAGTCAATAGACAAGATAGTCGTCGAAGAGTCGCAGACAAAGTCAAAGGGAAGCTACGAGCTACGCATCTCATCTTCCAGCTCATATGTTATGCAGGGCCAATCCTTTGATTCTGCCATCCTGGATATCCTGGCAGTGGCATCCTGGAAGGGGGCAGGATACCTTGGCTGGGCAAACAACGAGGCAATCTCAGCACTCCTCCGTTCAAGTTGTGCGTGCGGCTCTAATGGAAATCCAATTGAATTAAGTTAATTATGTTGGCAAATATTTAAACAATAGCAGCAATTTATGCACACCCAACCCTGGAGCTCTGGCTTTGCCAAGTAGGCTTTAAAACGTAGCCATGGCTGTCATTTAGTTTAATTCAATTGTCTGTGTGCATTATGAACGCCGGGGATTTTCCACCAACATTTGCGCAACAGTTGTGCTGAGTTTATTACGGCAACAAGTGTCGAAAAGTGTCGAAATATGGCAAATAAAGTTGACACATTTGCATATGCCTAATAAAATTTTCATACTACGCGGCGAGTGCATCGCACATTGCACATTCCCCATCGGGCACGGAATCGCAGTCCACATCCGTGTCCGCACTTTGGCACTTTCCATCTCCACTGGCTGCCTTTTGTGGGCCTCTTTTTACGTTCCGTGCCTGCCAATTTGATTCACATATAAAAATGAATTTATGACAATTTCCGGCTGATGGCTGCCAAGGCTGTCTCGAGGGCTTTATTGATTTCGCAAAGACCGAGGGTGGTTTCAATAATATCCAAGAATTTTTTAAAAACCTTAATTGGTTGCTCGGGCTTTGGGAAGAGAACTCATGTATGTGAAAGCCTGGGTTATGTACGAAAAACTAGTTAAATAATTAAAAAAAATGAACAACTACAATTGAACTTTAAATTAGTTTCTTACTGTAAAATGTTATTTATAAAAGTATTAAAAATTCTTGAAATATAAAATGACAACTTTTTTTAGTATTTACTCACTTGAATTAAGTTTTAATATCATATATTTTATTTGAGCTTCATATAATATCCCTTCTCCCAGATTTTAGTCCGAAAAAAAATAAATAAATGTAAGTAAATGGTTTATTTTTAACCCTGCTCTCCTTGTTGAGTTTAAAAAAATATTTTACCATCTCTCGTTTAAAGGATGACCCTCTACTTTATACAAGTACATTACATATACACATTACGACTGTATCATAAACTCGCTGCAGACGCCGATAATGTGACATCTCGACTATTAAGCAGTAAAAGCAACTCAAAGTCGGGGCAGGCAATGTCAGTAATCAATTTGCAAGTAATTTCTGCCCTGTTCCGGTTGAGTTTTCCTGCCTTTGTGCCGTGATGGGAGACATGAATAAGTCCGGGATAACATGACACTTGACATTGAGCCGGAGGTCGGTGGGGAATCCGAGGCTCGCGAGCAATATCAATAAAAAGTTTTCTTCGCTTTTTGCTGAAATTGCACGCAGAAAAAAAGTACAAATTGTAATTAAACTTTTGCACAATGCAACTCAAACTGTCCGCAGTGTCTGGCAGGAGCAACAAAAAAGCGTCAGCTGCATAGCAACAGCAAATAACAAAGTAAAAGACGGACTGCATTGGCCAATCGTTTGATTTGCACGGAAAGGCTTTGAATTTCCGGTTTCCTGTTTCCGGTCTGCGAGCCCACAGCGAAAACTACCTGCGAATATCAAATAATATCAGAGATACAGTCTTGGTTTATAACGTGTTATTTTTTGTCTTGATGTATATTTTATAAATTATGACAAAAGTTTCTCAAAAAGTTTAAAAATTAAATGCACAAATTAAACAACCGAAATCAAATGAAGAAATTGTACTTAATAATATTAAATTAATTTTATTCTGATAATATCTTTTATAATTAAGAACAAAATTGAACTGATGAAATTGTATTCATACTGGGCCCACATCCTTACAGATTTTGTTAAAGTGTCATTTACTAATGTTTAAGAAAATGTACAATCTTCATTTAGTTAAAAACTATTTAAAAAAAAAACTGTTATTAGAACTGAGATCCCCTCTAGTTTCGGCTGCACCATTCAGGCCTTTGCAATTTATGGCCAGAAGGAAGGAGGAAGTGGCCGCCAGGCAGCCATGTTTGTTTGTATTTATGTCGGTTTGCCGAGCAGCGTTTTGCGGCATTCAGACATTCAAATGCAGAGTGACTTCAGCACGCGGCTGTCATGTCAAGTGGTGGCCCACCTGGAGGGGAGTGGAGTGGAGTGGAGTAGAAAGGATGACGACTGCTGCCTCGAACTGATTGCTTAAGCGGAAATGACTTGAATGCCTTCCCTATCGCCACGTCACACGGGGCGTATGTGGAATTTCGCACTCGATTGCCTTGGAGGCGAAGTTTTGTGTAACGCGATTAGCGGTTTGCGCTCAAAGTTGTTTTGTTTGCTGTTGTGTCTAAGTCCTGGAAAGTCCTGTGGAGCAACACCTGAACCGTGATCCCGGTATCCCGAAACCCCGGCATCGATTGCAGTAATTGCAGTTGTAGCGCGTCTAAAACTTCAACCGTAGTTGGAAAAGTCATTAAAAACTTGTGCCCAACTTTGGATACGAATTAGAATTTTTGATTAAATTGCTTGGCAGGCAAACGCGAGAGACACAAATTCCTGGCAATTTACTGCGACAGGATGGGACAAGACAATTAATGAAAAATGCATAAGCCAAATGGCGAATCAATGTATATCGTGACACCAATTGCGAATTAACACCCTCATATACTCTCACATATAGCCTCATTGTCACGCAGGATTCGCTGCGGCATTGGCATGGAATTTGTATGCAAACCGCGCACTAAATTAGATTCTTTTTTACTGCAGCCACATCCTCGTCCGCTTGATGATGTGGCGATGACAGGGTCTCCGGGTTTATTTTCCTGCTCTTCCAGCTTCTGGCGATAAAATGCGTAAGCTCGTTAAAATTGCACGCGACGCGCCTTTTATAATAATAGCAATCGATGGCTGATGTCGCAGGAAGCCGAATAGCTGAAGGATATTGATGGTGGATTCTCAATGTGGTTCGTGGTAAATCCGAGAGTGGAGCAGCGCAAACATAAAATCATTGATGGTAAGTGGGTCGTAAGAAATAAACAGTTTTCGCAGATTTTTAGCTGGCAACCTGTTGTAGTTTATTTTTATCATAAAAAATAATATTTCTTGGAATCATAATAAATTCTTAAATATCTTTAGAATTAAAAAAATTCTATTATTTTACAGTGCGACAGACAAGCTTATTGTTCTAATACCATTCCAAGGATAAAGTCCCATTCTCGAACCTGCAACGGACATTCTTTATGCATGATTCCCAGCCTAATTCCACTACCAAAGGTCCTAACAATTGAAACCGGAGTCCCTACATTGCCATTCATATTCAGCCTTATAATTGCTTTTGCCTGGGACCTGCCTCCAAAAGCTCTGCACTCAGAGAAAATAATATAAATTAGATTCAGTGGCGCACGTTCTCGAGCTTATTATGCATTACCTAATGAAAACTGGGCCAGGACCAAAGGAGGCGGCGGGCCAACAGAACCGGCAGCCGCGTAAGCAAATAATAAATAAATAAATAAACGAAAAGCGCAAATAACATTTGAGAGCCAGATTTAATTTCTAACGTTGAGTGCGCATATTAAAACAGGCGGGATGGGGAGGTAAATGGGGATGGGGATGGGTCTGGCGGATTGTGGCTAGGGATTTTCCGGGTGAAAAGGGGCGGCAGCAGACAAAAGGCGGAGGAAAACCTTGCTGCGAGCAACAAACAAAGATGATGCGGATATCGCCGAGCCGGGTCTGGTGTCGGTGTATCTGTGTGTCTGTGGATATTATATGGAAGTGGATATGGAAGTGCAGCGGAAATGCGGGATTCCGGGACCATGGGATCCCCGAATTCCGAGTCTGCGGGGCCCGAGAATATAAAAATAAACAATCAAAGCGGGCGGCAGAAGGCGTAATAGAAGTTGGCGTGAGTAAACAATGAATTACGGAATCATGAAAGCAAATTGACTTTAATGCAAAAATCAAATATTTACACAGCGCGGATGCGGGACAAGGACAATCGGTGGGGGGTGAAGTGGAGTGAAGTGAAATAGGAAAGGCGAAAAAGAGGAGGCAATGCAATTGCAATCCATAGCCGAAAGAGACGGCAACAGACAGTCCCAGAGACAAAGGCAAACAAACAAACAAACCGAATGGAAGAAAGAACGCATACAAATCGAGGTTATGTTAGACGTTCTGGCTGCGAACTCTTTCCTCTATTCCCAAAAATTTGTTTCGGCACTTAAATGCCAATGCACACAATCCCGGAATACACACTCGTATGCAAGCTCAGATAGAGCTACACAAGAAAAAATCAACTAAAAGGAGTTTGGGAGCTTGAAAAGAAGATAAGTGGGACTTTTTCGCCTTTAATTTAAGGATTCAAAGTGCATAAAATGTAGTAATATTATATTTTCATGCATAAATCCAATATAAATAAAACTGAATATCATAAATTTAGGTATTTTACACGAATTTCTGGATATTTTGTTTCTCTGTATAAAAAGTAAGTAAAATCTGTTGGAGCAGAGGGTCAACCGGGGCTTAAGAGGCGGGTCAGCTTTTGTGCGGCATTGGTCTGCGGCGCTTCCGGTTTTCGAGTGTACGTTATTAGCTCACTGGGCGTGGATGCGGTCCGGCACGGTCAGAATTTTACGATTTCATTCATTTTTGTGGCTGCCATTTGACGCCGCAAAATATGCAACAAAATTTTATTTGCCAGAAATAAGAACCCGAGACCTTGGCTGGCTCTGAAAATAAAATTATAGAAACTATTGTGTAATGCTTTGGAAGTTAGAGTGCCAAACACTTTAAGGTATTTGCTCCTCATCGCAATTTCCCAAAGAATTTTCTCAATTAGAATACTCGCTGGAGAATACGACTCGATTGTAATAAAGCACGTAACAGACTAAGGGAAAAAGTGTTAACGTGGTCATATAAAAAAAAACCGGAATAGAGTGCGGTGGGTGAAAGAGGAAACATCACACAAATCTGAAAACCATAAAAGTGTCGCTTTCAATTGTTACCCCAACTTCGGACTACAGGCGACAATCGAAGCCAACAAGTGAAATTGAAACGTTCAGTGGATAGTGTGGAGTCCTGGCAGCAGATACGCTGCATGAGGGGTGGGGATAAAAAGGAAACAGGATGGATGAGGGTGCTCTAGAAACTCGCAAACACAAATTGACGATGATGTAGTGTGTGTGCCTGCTACTGTGGGGCAGGATGCTCAGCGAGATTTTTTTCACATTCCGAGTTGGGTTATAAGATTTTTGAAGGGATTTTTTGGCGTCAACTAAAATAGTTTTAAATATATTTATTTCAAATAAAAGATTTTGTTTTGCAATAAAATAAAAATTTAATTTGAAAAGCATTAACGATAATCTTCATTTAAAAAATAAATTATTTGTATTTTAATTAAACTATGTTTTAAGGTATTTAAAATAAACTTCCCTAGTATTATTAACTCTTAGCTATGAGGACTCTTCATTGATAAGAGTATCACAGGTCCCCTGTGATTTGTTTTTGCAACCCCCACACTCATAAAAAAAAATCCAAGAATTTCCTTAAAATCTAGAAAATTCTTTCTTGAATTTTTGCCAAAGGCGACCTCACCGTTGTTTCAAGAAATGGTTTTTTTGAAAGGCACCATTAAAACCAGAAAAAATATTTCTTGTTTTAAGAAATTATATTTCTTAAAACAAGAAAGGGTTTTTTAGAAAGCCACCATAAAAACAAGAAAAAATATTTCTTAAAACAAGAAAGGCGATTCTTGTTTCAAAGGTGGTTTGTTTCTTGTTTTAAGAAATTAAATTTCTTAAAACAAGAAAGGGTTTTTTAGAAAGCCACTTTTTAAACAAGAAAAATTCTTTCTTGTTTAAATTTCCTTTCAAGAAATTTTATTTCTTGATTTAAGAAATAATATTTCTTGAAAGGAAGTTTAATATTAACCCTGAAACCCTAAAAATAAAATGTAACTTGGTTTTTTCTTTTGCATATTATATTTATTTACATTTAAAACATTTAACACTTAACATTTAAACATTTTTAAATAACACATTTTTGACTCAAGAAAACATTGTTATTACCCAAGGTCTGTTGAACTTCATATGACCTAAGGTGATCCATTTTCTTCGCCTTTCCTCATCTAGAAAAAAAGAGTTATTGGGATATATCATTAATCATTGATAGATTTGTTTTTAGATAAACAACTTTTTTGAAATAATGTAATGCTAATAATAGCCAAAATACAAACACGTTGGTCAGACGACCGAGAGAGAGGAGCAAGACAGGTAGAAAATGAAGGGTTGAAAATCGAATTTCAGAGAGAGAGAGAGGCACGGATGAGACACGTACATACATACATATATATTTACATACAGTCCTTTGCGCGAAGGGAGACCGAATGTAAGCAGGGCAGATCATGTCATTTTTAAGAAGGAGCAGAGAGAACTCGCGACGCGTAGGTCAAGCGAGCGAGAGAGAGGAGCAGAATATGAAAGGGTTGAAAATCGGGTTTCAGATCGGGTGAGCCGCAAGTATGCCGAAAGTATGTCAAACAAATACAACATATTTTTCTTACCTTAGAATGTTTTAAAACAAAATTACAGCTTCGCCAAACAAATTATTTGGCTGATGCAACTGCAGGTATTTTCACTCTGAAAAATAAATAAAATGCGAGTAATAGGATAAAGTTATTATAGAACTCTACACCCACAAATTTATATACAAATGTATGTATGTACGTAGCTCTTAGCTAAAAAACAATTCAACTGAATTGGTATACGCTTGGTAAAGAGATTTGAAATTTATCCTTTAATTACATACATACAATTGTACGCCCGCTACACAAAAAATTATATATTTACATACCTTTGAATATTTGGAAAAAGGCTTCACCTCTTATCCGCTTGAAAATCACGTCCATCACTCACGAATTTTTTTCACAACTGACGCTCGGGGGATCAGAGAAGTCGGTAGCCGGGTAGGCCTTCGTCCCACTTCGTTTTTCTTGTCGTTAACATTCGGCAGCCGAAGGAAGTCAATGGCTACTTTCCTATATTCTAGGGTCATTTCATCCATATATTCAAAGGTGATTTTGTCCTAAAATACGTACAAAAATGTTTTGGCTGCGACGGCAAAACAGACATATGAGATTTTCATTTTTCTATTTTTAAGAAAAATTCTTTCTTGAATTTTTTCCATCAAGAAAGGTTTTCTGTATTCAAACGCAAATTTTCTAATAACAAGAAATTTTTTTTCTATTTTCAAAGGTAGGCCGATTTAATGGCGAGATTTCCAAAATTTAGAAATTAATTTTTATGAGTGCATACTTTATTACTTTCTGAACTGAACTGAGAATGATGCCGTCGATGATTGACACCACGCCCGGCAATAAATTTTTAATTTTCAATGCTCCCCGTTAGACTGATGGTCTGATAGCCTGACGAACCCATCCCCACATCCACGTCCTTGCCTCCAGTGAGCTTGTTAAATTCAAATTAGAACGATGCCGGCAACTGCGCTCTATGCGAGGAGTTGCCGCTGACAGCGAAGATAAATGACAGAGAACTGCGATCGCAACAAATTAACCTTGTTAGAGGCTGCAGCACAGGCAAAGTCGAGACCAGGACATAACCCCGGAGCAGTGGAAACGGCAAGGACTCCGGCCCGAGGACACCAGTTACAAGTGTATGTAATTTTTTATCGTCTGCGACTTTCGACTCCTCTCCCACTGACGACGACTGACTTATGAATGGCGTGTGCCAGTTGAGTTGAGACGACGCACTTAGAGAAAATATCTTGCTTTATTTTAGAAATTCCTTAGAAGTTTATTGTTCAAAATATAGTGTACAAATATACTCGATGAAGAACATTTTTAACATTCTTTTATATTTCCCTTTCATAAAGAGAAATAATAATGCATAGCTAAAAAATGATCAAATTTTACAAAATATTTTGTATACATTTAAGCTGGTAAAAAAAAACCAATATTAAAATAAATTAAAATAGTTTAAGTATGAAATAATCTGATTAAATATTTTGTGATATTTAAACTGCTACAAAAGGAAAAATATTTTCCTATAATAATAGAATTTATTATTTAACACATGGGACCTTAAAATCTTTTAGATTTTCGCATTAATCTATATAAACCATTGTCTTAAGATGTGGTGACTACACAATGTGTTCTTGAGTTTTGTAAAGTGTAAAGGATACTACTGCCACTGCTGTGAGTCGATAAATCAGTTTGTGTATCAAATTGAATTCACTAGCGTGCACTTGACACCAGCCCACGCACATTTATCAGCCGAATCAGGCGAATCCTGCGGAGCATGAACTTTAATTCGGCCGTGCGGGTTGAGGAACCGCAAAATTTTAATCTCAACTGAGAGCTCACGAAAACAAGAACCATCGGTGGCGTGCATTATAAATTATTCATTAGGAAAACGCAACCGCGACACGCCCACTTTTTTCTGGCCAAGTAAATGAACGCCTGCCGCTGACGGACGCTCGTTTGCACCTAATTTGATTTTTAGTCGCTGCTTCTTTTGGTGGCGAGTCTGCGGTTGGTTCTCTTGGCATTCCTTCCCCCTTTTTTCCACTCTGAAAACCATCTCACAGATACAAACACACACACACCCCCACAAAGAAGGAGTATGCAGCGCTTTCCATCGCCGCATCCTGTTTTCTTTTCATTCATTCCAGCGGCTGGCTGTCGAAAAAATGTCTGTTATGTGGCTACAGAATTTTGCAGTAATTAATGGCAACTGTTTGATTAAAAAATTCCATAGCAGCTCTCTATGCAAGGATGTGTGTGGGTTTAGTTCTAGTTTTTCCTCCCCCTAAACCGTTTTCCATCACCAACCGCGGTCAAAAGCAGCGATGCTGAATAAATCTATGCAAATTCCAGAGATGTCTTAAAAAGTTTTTGGGTCTGAACAAAAATAAGATTGAATGGGACAATATTTTAGTTTTGAAGCTATATTTAAAAACTCAAAAAACAGTCATAAAATATTTAAATATTATATATTTATTTAACAAATGATACATGAGAACAATGTCATTTAATGTAACTCCACAAAAATTTAAACTTTTTCTGTGTTTAATCTAGAGTAGGATGTGTTTTTGTTCCACTACTGGTCTTAAAATAACGCTTTTGACAGCTATAACTATTGCCGCAGTGAGTTGCACACCATTTAATGTTAAAATACTGTAAGCCTATTTTGCAGGGCTTTAATGTCGGCCAAGTGGCGAAGGACATTACTATGCTGGACAAACTGGCGGGTCACCATCATATTGTTCTTATCATAAGTCTAGTCTTATGCGTACTCATACTAATTGTTCTCATGGCTGCAGTATATGCAGCTGTTCGCCATCATCTCTTGATTTTAAACATGGTGTGTCTCAGTAAAATTATTTTTTATCGCTATTCTTAATATTTAATCGAATTTATAGTCGCTTGTTTCTTTGATTGTGAAATGTGTATGCAAGGGAATCATTGTAATCGTGTGTGTAGTTACTGAAAACAACCTAGAAAATACAGCCGCCCACTTTTGGTTCTTTTTATGTTGGATATTTACGGTATTTAATGTTATTGGTTTTTTAATAGGTTTTTTAATCAATTATTGTTTCTAATCAGAACAGATACTCTGTATGATCGCGAATATGTGTTTCTCTATGCGTGTAAAAGAAAACTCGGACGAAGCCAACTAAGATTTCCCTACACTGAGAAAAAAAACAGTCTAAAATTAAGAGAAATATTCTTAAATTAAGAACGTTTGGTCATGGGAATGAGTCAAGTTCGATTGTTCTTATATTAAGACAGAATGTTCTTAAATGCAGAACACTTATTGTAGACCAAAAAATCTAAAATCAAGAAAAATTGATCTTCATCTAAGAACACATTTTATTAATTTAAGATGTCAATGGTATAGAATTAAGACTAAATATTCTGAACCTAAGAGTATGGTAAACAAGGAAGTGATCTTCTTTTAAGATTAAAAATACTTTATTTAAGAATATAAATTCATTTATTTATTTCATAACATTCTCAACAATAAGAAATTAATTTCTACAACAATATTCAGTCATACAAGTTGCTTCTGAGATTAATTAAGTGTATCATTACACTTTAAGGTACATACTTCAGTTGTAAGTCTTTCTTTTTAATAACGTAAAAGTAGATTTTTTCAGTAAATTTTAACTTAAATTTTTAGCAAAAAACTATGGCTCTATGCATTTCGAATGATAATAAAATACTCGCATGTTAGTTTGATAAGTTTTTCAGTTCGTTAAGTAGATGAGCGATACGTGGCGACTTAAGATCATATTCAGTTGATATTTCATAAAAGTATTTTTGGATAAATAGCCATGGTTGCTGACAGGCGGAAGGATATTTTAAATTAAGCACTTGAAATATTTGAAAGCAAATATCCAAACTATCCAAAAATGAATCAAGTTTGTATAACATTTTTTCAAAGTAAACAAAGAAACTTTTAATGCAATCATCAGCTAATCCAACGACCACTAAAAAAGGTTGAACGGTCATACCGACAGAGTAGAATTTTGATATTATTTTAGCTATTTTAATATCTATGTCACTGTGAGTGTCAGCCCGTATAATGAAACACTCCTGGGAATCCATAATTGTTGTCTTTTTGAATTGCTTGCCCGACTCGTTCACAAAGCGAGCTGATGGAGGCAGTAAAGTAGTCAGCAATGTTGTATAAATATAATCCTGAATGTCTATAAAGATATAAAACGGTTATATTTACGTGGTAAAATAATACTTGGCAATTTATACTTACTTGGATCGAACGAACTTTCACCTCTCTTAAATAACTCTTTAAAGCATTTATTTGAAAGAGATTTTTTATACACAGCCGCAATGTGGGTTTTAAAAGAGTCCCACTTTGCTAAAAGCAAGTGACTTTTGGACGGGTACATAATGTTGAAATCAATTGAGATCTAAAAAAAAGGCAATATTTAATAATTGAGTATTTTATATAAAAAAAACATTAGCGTACCAATTCTGGAGCCCTTGCATGAGATAGTTTTGACCACGACTTAAAAAATTCTTCCCATTCCATTTGGCGTAAGTCGTTCTGCCGCATTGTAAACGTCTTTTGCCATTTGTCTTTTATTTCCTCCCAGTTAGAGGATGATCGGTTTAAATATCCTTTCAACGTATTTCCCACAGACACATCTACTTCACTCATTTGATCTAATGAGGGTTTTTGGGTTACATGTTGGATTTCCATCTTACTACGTTTATGATTTCTATTCTTGAACTTGGAAAATAGTTTTCCGCCACAATTAGATTTGCCACTTCTTGGTATAAAGTAGTAATCCTAGAAAATATAAATGAATTTAAAAATATATGAATTTAATACATAAATCTATATCAAACATACCATCATTTCTTTCTCCTTCGGGAATATTGAGACAATATCATTAGTTATGTTTGCCATGTCAAACGGTTTTAATATAACATTAGTTGCAATGGCATCTTCTAAAATTATATTTATTAAAATGTCTCTTTTTTCCTTAGTCAAGCAGTTGTTTGCTTCATAGAAGTTTAAGATTTGTCTTCCTCGAGATGTTTCCATAATTAAGTTTTTCAAGTCCTACATTTAAAGCACATATATTATTAAAAAACTTGGCTTAAATCTCTATAATACCTTATAATTAATGGATTTTCTGCTGTTGATACTTTGGTCTTCTTCGATTTTGACAGGCTCATTTTGTTTGAGTGGAGGCTCAACAGAGTTTTCGTTGGCTTCATACTTAAAAGAAATAAGAGTTAAAAATGTATGCCAATTGTTTTTTTTGTAAATTAAGATACTTACAAAAGTTTTTCTCCACTCAAACAGTTCTTCCCTGAAAATTAAACGCGGACCCAGTGGTGGAATTGCTTCCTTAATATCGTCCCTGTCCATGTATTTTAAACAATCAAATGTTATATTTGCATCTAAGGAATAAAAATTAGCTTAACTTTAATCAGCGGAGCAACAAAGGGAGAAGAAAAAAAATGTGAGCGTACATATGTAAATACTAATACACACACTGTCGCAACTGGAGTGTTTTCCTTTCTTCACATTCTTTTCATTTATTTTGTTTATATCACCTATGGGCTATGCAGTTTTTTCGGCCGCTGCGCTGATAGCTTTTCGACGCTGTTAAGCAGAGAAACGTGGATGTCGAAACGCTAACAGCGCAGCGGCAGAAAAACTGCGTAGCCCATGGGTCGGGAGTGCTGCTTCTGCTGGCCACGACTGGTTTATATGTTTTTCTTACCAATCAAGTATTGCATTAAATGTTCCATACCGAGTTCTTTCATTAAATTAGATAGCTTAACTTTGTCTGAGTCCTCGGGTAAGGCCGGACTTAGGCACATAACCTCAAAAGTTGAGCACGGTACCGGGTCAGCTGTATTCTTTTGATCCTTCACCTCCTCAATGTTTTCTTCAGGCTCCGAATCCGAAAGGATTATACGCTTTCTTTTAGCTTTAGCCGGCATTTTAACACGCACTGTTTTTTCAACAATTTTTTCGATTTCACAACCAGTCGTGCACGCGAACAATTGGGAATGGTTCAGTGTGACCATTCCGTTAAATCATCGATATCTATTAAGACATCGATGTTAAAAATATAACTAGTTTAAGGCAAATAAAAAAAGGGGGACATTTTTTAATTAATATTTTATTAGCATTTGTTTATTGGTGTACACTTTTTATTGAAGCGCGTTACTAGTAAATTACGATAATAGGATCCGATATTCGATAATTTTATCGAAACTTTTGTGTTTTGTTTTGATTATCGTACACACATATACAACGAAAACATTAAAGACGGAAACAATAAACAAGCTTGATATCAACGAAATTTAAGAAACGAAGACGTTACTTGCAGGCATTAGAAATTCAAAATTTAAAGGTACGCCCAATTTCTGCCCTCGGTACGCAAGAAATCATGTAAAGTTTTTATTGTTTTTATTTTATTTTAGAGAATATTATTACTTACCTTGGAACATCATGTACGCTTGCTTCAGGTGCTCAAACAAATTTTCCAGCGGAAAACTTTTAATTCATCATTTAAAGTATGATCACTTTATAACATTGACTGATTTTCCAATACAATGTATTGTTCCAAATTGCAATCAGCTGCACTCAAACTTTTCAGCACTTCAAAGGCATTTGGATACCCAGCATAAGAATCAACCCGACGTTGATAACAATTCACCATATATGAAGGGAGCAAGGACCGCAGATCAACCAAATGATATCTTTGAAAATGATACCTCCATATCATTTGAAAGCATTGAAAATGTAAGTACTGATGCTTATGACGAGGTTAATATCATAACTGATTTGGAGAAAGACGCGTTAATGTTTTCCATTGATTTATTATCTCGAAATCAGATGCCAAGAAAATATGTGACAGAGATTCAAGGAATGATAACAGCCCTTTGCTTTAAAATGGCCAAAGCGATTCGGCAATGTATTAATCAAGGCAAGCAACAAAACATGGATAATATCTTGAAATTTTGCGAGTCACCGTTTGCCAAAATTGGAACCGAATATAAACTTTTTAAAATGTTAAAGGAGCAGCAATTATATGAGGAACCAAAGTCCTTTATCATTAACCAAAGACTGGCAGCAATTAATGTACAAGGAAATCCTACCTTAGACACAAAAACCGACGAGATCTTTGTAATGCCACTACAATTTATGATTAGGTCTATATTCAAGAATTCAAATCTTTTGTCGCAAACTTTGCAAAATGCTAAAAATTATGCGTCCAATAGTGCACTGACTAACTTAGCGAGCGGTGAACTATTTAAATCCAAATTATCAAAATTTGGGACAAGTTTAGTTGTTCCTTATGTCCTTTATTTGGACGATTTTCAAATAAATAACCCCCTGGGATCCCACACATATTCCATTTGCGGTTGTTACTTGAATTTTCCAACGATGCCCCAGCACCTGTTATCGAAATTGGATTTTATTTTTCACGCAGCTTTTGTATCCACAGAAAATCTTAAGGAAATTGGGAATGAAAATTGCTTTTATAATTTGGTAGAGGAACTTAAATTGCTAGAAAATGGAATGGAATTTTCTATAGACGGACAAGACAAAAAAATACATTTTCTACTTATCCTAATTGTAGGAGATAATTTGGCAGTAAACAGTGTATTAGGGTATGTTCAGTCCTTCAATGCAACAAAGTATTGTAGATCTTGTACACGAACCAAAACCCAAATGAGATACGACGTTATTCAAAAAGGACGATTTTTGAGAAACAACGAGAACTATCGACAGATGTTGTCAGAGCAAAACTTTCAAGAAACCGGCATTAAAAATTCCTGCGTTTTTGAAAACTTGGATTACTTTAACGTTCCCGATAATTTTTGCTTCGATATAATGCACGATGTTTATGAAGGAGTCTGCAACTACGATCTCTGTCACATTTTACTATCTCTTATAAATGAAAATATCATTACACTCGATCAACTAAATACAAGAAAGCGTTTATTCCAATATGGCGAAATTAATGTTGGAAACATTTCAACGAATATTGAAATAAGAAGACTAAAATCTTGTAATTTACGGATGACTGCCAGTGAGCTAATGTGTTTTGTTCATTTTTTGCCATTAATGATCGGTGACTTGGTTCCACCCAGAAATAAACACTGGAGAATTTTAATAACATTGCTGGATATAATTGACTTACTCGGAAAATCTACTTTTGAAACAGAGGACCTAATAAAACTAAAAATGTTAATTAAAAAGCATCACGGAGGCTACATAAAGTTGTACGGAAGTTTAAAGCCGAAGCACCATTTTATGGTGCATTATCCCAGAGCTATTCGTATGTGCGGTCCACTAAAATATTTGTGGTGCATGCGATTCGAAGCTAAGCACAAGGAAGCCAAAATGTATTTTCAAAATATTACATCGCGGGTTAATCCCCCTCATACCTTGGCAATTAAGTCAGGTAATAAATTTTGTCAATTTTTACTAAGACTCGAGAATTCTGTTGAAACACTGTTTGTCATAAAAAACACATTACCACTTAACCACGACATTGAAAGTTGCTTAAGTAAAATTGATTGTCCGTTTAATTTACATAATGCTCAGTTAAGCAACTCAATAATATATAAAGGTATGGATTATAAAAGCAACAATTACTTAGTTAAAAACGAAAACCCTGACCAAATATTTAAAATATTTTTGTTTGTCTTGGAAAATGAATGTATTTATGTTGTGAGCAGAGTTGTTAGTTTAAATGCATTTAATTGTCATTTCCAATCTTATGAAGTTGGCGCGGCAACAGATAAATTTGAAATTCTAAGCATTGATAAATTTCTCAGCCCTCCTTTACATGTACACCCAATAAACAATGGAAAATCGTATATTAGAATTAAGCGTATTTAAGTAAATTAACATTTTAAGATTTGTAATGTATTATGACTGTATCAACCTTTTAAAATCTCAAGAACTCAAAATAGAATCGTATTTTAAAAACCATGATTTTTTGTCTAAATAAATGTTACTTCTTTGCTTTTCTTTATTATATTAAATTGGTTTTTTAAATTAATTTTCTCTCGTAGATTATTGGACAAAAAATGTATAATTTTTGTAGTTCATAAATACAATATATATTTTTTAATTTTAGGACAACAGTTTCTTAATCTTAGAATAAAATTGCCTTATTTTAGGAATGTTTGCTCTTTTTTTAAGTACGTTTGTTCTTATTGTAAGAACAAAATTTAAGAACCAAAATTTCTTAATTTAAGAACTTTGTTCTTAAATTTAGACTGGGTTTTTTCCCTCAGTGTACTTTTTGACACTTACATTTTTTGTGTTTTTCCACATGAGTATATTGTCAAAATAAAAATTCAAAATTATTTCCCTTTCAAATAAAATGTGCTTTTGCCCCACCCTTGGTCTTAAAATCGGTCTTCTGATTCTAATACCTATTACCGCAGTGAGTTAGCTTCCTAATTCTTTGGTCAGTTAATTCTAGCAATATTCTGCAGGGATGTAATGCTGCTCAAATAGCAAAAGACGTTGCTGTGTGGAATATTGTGAAGGGTTATCATCATACAATTCTCATTATAAGCCTAACTATGTCCGTGGTTATCCTGCTGGCCCTTATTGTGCTAACATATGCGACGATCTGTACAAAGGTGCGGATACTTTATGCGGTGCTTATAGATGATGTTATCTGTGATTCTTCATCATAAATACATATTTTCTTGAATTTTCAGATGCTTTCTGTTTTTGTGGTAAACTGCGTGGTAAAGCTGATCCTTCTATTCGTGTGCATATCCACTGAAATGAAACCGGAAAAGACGGCAGCCCATACCTGGTTCATGATATGCTGGTTTGTTTCGGTATGTGTGGACTTTGGAACCACTTCTTTATTTATATTGATCCCCTCTTCCTAATGAGAACAGTTTTTCTGTATGGCCTCCATTATTTTGTATTGCATCCGATTACATGTGCTAGCTAACGATGCCGACTTTGCCGCCTAAACAGGGATTGTAGTATTCCATGTGTAAACAATGTATAAGATAACATTATTTTATTTGTAAAAAATCGTTGCATCTCCGATTGTAGTGCCACTTTAGAGCTTGAACAATGTTGGGGAGCGTTTCCGTGCCCGATTATCAAGCGGATCAGGGGGAAAATCAAACGGACCGGCAAACCCTTTCATGGAATCTAAAGATATGTATCGCTGTGATCCTTCCCCTGTGGACGCTCGCCATTGTAAGTAAATACAAAGCGATAGAAAAAAAATAAATTGAAGAAAACCCTCTATCTGCAGGGTCTAAACTTTGTAAACATTTATACATACCATCTCCACCTGACAAGTAATGAGGCTTGCTGGAAGTGTTTATTCAAGACCTATATGGTCATCGGGATCGTTACTTCGGTTTCCATTCTACCAGTGCTCTGTTTTATCTTGCCATTGGTGTTTTTACAAAAAGCCCGCGGAATTCGCGTTGTGAGTGTGGATTATTTAGATATTATTATTTATTAAATAATCATATATTTCAGTACGTGCCCTGCCTTCTTGTATGCACGTTTATGGGTTTTATGGTGGCTGTAGTGATAAACCATGAATATCCACTTATCAATGATGTATTGCGGGTGTGGAAAAATAAGAAGAGTCTGACATTCATCGAAAACAATGTGAGAGTTTTATTTTTTTAATTTTTTTTTAAAATTTATCTCTGCTTTTTCAGTATAAATGCTGTGGAGTTATGGGACCCGATGACTATTATGTTTCTACAAGGAATGTTCCAATGTCCTGCTTCAAGGATCACACTGGTAGCCCTGAAGACCTGTACACGACTGGCTGCTCAACAAGGTCCTTTATTTCGCCAGGAATGCCCTTCAGCGAGCTGGCCTCTGGAATAGTTAGAGTAAGCACTTTACTCTAAGATCCCAATCAAAATATAAATTCTCTTTTAGTTAGCATTGGCCCTGTCCTTGACTGTATACTTGTTTATCATGAAACGGAAATGCTGAATAAAAAAACAGGAGGTTATTCTGAAGGAAATTGGAAATATGTAACCAAATAAATAGTTTTTTTTTTATTTTTAAAAGTAGTTATACCTGTGGAAGCAGTGTCATTCTAGGAAAACTTAATTCTCGTCACTTTTTCGGATATTATTCAGATATGAATAGGGGATCGCCGGGGGACGCTAGTTCTTCAGAGTCGTCACTCAATATGAGTAGTCGCAAGCTGAGGATCTGCAAGTATGTGATCTACGTTTTATGGGTGATCAATTTCGTAGGTAATATCATAGAAGCTCAGGAAAAACTACTAAGGAAAATGGCCAACCCACAGCTTTTAACCTTTGCTGACATTTATATGTATTATCTCAGGCTGAGGAAGTACATGGATTGCTGGAAGTGTTTCTTTAGGTCCTATATGTATGTCGCGCTAACTTTATCTGTTCTGAAGATTCCACTGCTGATCGTGGCACTACCCTTGGTATATCTTCACCTATCCAGCGAAATTCGTATTGTGAGTTATAATAAAATATTTAGTAGTGGCACTGTGATTGTGTTTTATATCTGCAGTATGCAACGGTGCTGTTCCTAGCCACTTGGTTGCAGATGATGTTGACTTTTTTGTTAGCACAGGAGTACCAGGCTTCAGGCGACGTACTTCGACTATGGATAAATCATAAGAGTTTGGAGTTCTTCGAAGTCCACGTAAGAGTTATGAAATCAAACATATCTAAGTACTTAAAGAAGTTGTTGAAGAAGGAAGGTCTTTAAAATAAATGAATTTTACATTTAAAATTTTTTAATATACCATAGCAATATAAATATTAAAATATACCATATTAATAATTTATTTATTTATTCTCTCTTTTTATTATTAATAGTCCAAGTGCTGCGGCGTGGTTGGACCGGACGACTACAAGTTGAAAGAAATGAAGATACCCAGATCCTGCTACAAGGGTGGCTCCTTAAGGCAGGAGGATCTGTACCAAGCTGGTTGCTCCACGCGCTCCATAAAGCCACCGATTGTGCCCATCCCCCAGGTGATCTCCGTGATATTCCAGGTGAGTCCAGCGCTCTTGCTCTCTGCCTAAATACAAGTATTTCCAAATTTCCAAAAGTACGTATTGGTCCTAGCGATTGTAATCTACCTGGTAATCATGATTCGAAACCGGGCCCATCGTCGCACTGTATGGTCCGTGCGTCGCACCGAATTGTTTGGCTCTGCAGAGGCCGCGGAACTGCGAACTAATCCTGAGGATTCGAAGAGAAGCGAACTTGAGGGTTACTTCACAGTTCCACGTAGAATCTAAGCAGCAGCAGCAACAGAGGAGGATTTCATGTGGTATTCAATTTCGGATTCGGTTTGCCCTGGGAATGGGTATTGGCACTGGCGGGCGAGACAAATTGGATGCTGCCGGCTCTCGTCATATTTCACGGACTGCAATCAATAACGATAAACACTTGAGTCGCAAATCCAGAATCGAGAATCAAATGTCCAGGATCCTGTCCGATGGCATGCATATGGATGAGCCAATAAAGAAATCAACAAAGCATGTCCGACGATTGAAAAAGTATTGCAAATGCCGGGACAGCCGGCAATTCGGACACGGAATCGGGCAACAATCCAATCCGGAGTACGAACAATATGCAAATGCAGCTAAGCAGAAAATATTCAAGGACGATCCAACCCCCGAGTTTATTTTCACTTTATGTCCCTCGCCTCGCGCATAAATTTTATTGTTGTCAACATTAAATTCAAGTCGTGGAAAACAATTTTGCAGCATTTGAAAATCCATAAAATATGCATACAAAATTGTCCGGCGGAACGACCAACTTTATGGCTAAATAGTTTGCCCCGGCCCACATCGTTAATGCCTTTTTTATGCGTGTGTTTGGGTGGCGTTGGCAAAACTTTTTAGCCGCCGTAACAATAACGGCAGCAACAACCACACTCTGGTCAAGCTGCTGAAACACCCCTCCACCCAAACGAAAAGTTTATGGAGGGGGATATAAAGATGGAGTCGGGGCGCCAAAGGGTCATGTGGCTCATTAAACTTTGGCCAACAATTTTTTGTTGCACCCCACCGACAAAGACAAACAGAAAGTTTTGCACTAAATATTTGCGCCCTCGCAAAAAAAACAGAGTTCCTAGAGGAGAGAGCAGAATGCCAGGGGTATTTGAGGTGAGTGGCCATGGTTTCAAAAGGGATTCGGAATGGGTTGGAAATTTCTTGGCACACATACGCCCCATTAAACGCTAGACAAATGGAAAGCTTAGAGCAACAAAAGGAGTGAAAGTGTTACTTTAAGTTGTGCTTACAAAAACTTTTCATATGTATGGGTAGTATTTAAGTAAATACGATGAAATAATTAAAACTATTTATGAGACTATTAAAAATCGGTTGTTAATCTTCGTAAATCCTAAAATCACACTTCTAAAATAACATTTTTACTGAACCTAAATTTAATTTATAATTTTGAAAGGGTTGGCTCCTTTAATTCTTGACCTTTTGAAGGGTCTTAAATTTTGTTATCTAACCCAACATTTTCAAGCTATAGAAAATCCATAACAAGGTATAGTAAATCATTTTGATTAGTATACAATTTTTAAATTAAGTTGAATTGAAATTAAGCTGTTATTCATGCCATCTGGTATACTTTTCCCCCTGAACACACTGAAACATTTTTAAAACACGACAAGACCATTGTGGCTCCCATTCGCATATCATTTACCCCAGTAATTACTGGTAATTATAATTACTTAAAAAGCAAGTTCGTGTTTTACGCAGTTACAAACAGACTGTATTTATTTCGTACGGACAAATCAACAAAGTGTCAACAAAGGTTGGGATATCACACCCTAGTATCCCCAGTGGGAGCCGAATCCATCGAAGCTGGCATGAGCGACCACGGCGGCGGGCGAGTACTTGACGAAGGCGGCGGGGGCAGCGGCCACCACGGGAGCGGAGTAAACTGGAGCCGGAGCGGAGTAGACGGTCTTGGCCAGAACGGGAGCTGGTGCGGCATAAACGGTCTTGGCCACAACTGGAGCTGGGGCAGCATACACCTGAGCGGGGGCAGCATAAACGGCCTTGGCCACGGGAGCGGAGTAGACAGTCTTGGCCACAACGGGAGCAGGAGCGGCATAAACGGGAGCTGGGGCAGCGGCGTAGAAGGACTTGGTGATCACGGGAGCCGGGGCCGAGTACAGGGTCTTGGGGGTGTAGACGTTGTTCGTGATGCGGGAGTCCGACTTGCTGACACTCGAGTAGGGAGTGACCACGTTCTTGGAGTAGGTGGACACGGTGCCGCCGAAAGAGCGCACCACATTCTGCTGGGTGGTTCCGACGGCATCGTAATGCGGCTGAGCCACCTTGGCCACCACGGGAATGGAGGCGGCGGCATAGGTGGCTGCCGGAGCAAGGAAACCAGCGCTGGCCACGCCCACCAGAGCGCAGAAGGACAACAGGACGTACTTGAAAGCCATGGCTAGGATTTGGTTGGAAGTTTTTTAAACTCGAAACAGAAACTGATGTGGGTTGTGAGCTGCAGTGGCTACTGATGCTAAACTCTTGCCAATCGGCTGTTTTTATAGCCAAAAACAGCGCAAATGCCTTGCCAAATTTCACGGTCGCTGGTAAATTATTATGTGCTCGTATGACAGATTGACTTAGGCCTAAGCCTCTAAAAAAACTGGTTCAATGGGTCGACAAATGACTGCGCTCTTTTCTCTCCCTCTTTTTCCGTGCTCCGTCTCTGTCTGCAGCTTAATTGGAGGCCAGCTCAAGTGCCCCACACCCTGGGTATCAAGAAAGTGAATTATTTTGAATACTCACTCGTACTATCAGCAGCTCATAAATTTTCCAGCGACAGGGGGAAAAGTTGTATTTTGCTCGGCGTGTTTTTCCATTAAATTGAGTTCCACTCGAGCAGCAAATATGGGGCCAACCCCTCGATAAGGGGATGTTCCTTATTTTCCGTATTCCTTGTTGCTGTCAACTTTATCAGCAGGGGGTGTCAGCGGTTTTTTTTTTGGGAGTGGTGGCAGTCAGTTGTTTATGATTTTTATTTGTTTTTATTCGAAGGGGGAGCTAAGAAGTTTTGGTGCCCTTCAAGAAGGAAGATGTGAAGTTGAAATTAATGGTCAGGAGTCTAAAAGTTGTAGAAGATCAGAAATCCATAACAAAAAGAAGGCTGAATATTGACTAAGACATAAATATATTTATATTTTTGTGACACCCAAAACTTTGGCACTAAATTACGATGAAAAGGGCATCTAACACTTCGTCTTGTTTGCAGTTTTTCCCCTATTGTTTTGTTTTCTTTTTCCTTCGGCCAAGTTTGGAAAATGAATTTTCCTGCTTTTTCTGCTGCTTACGGGCGCATGATGAATATTTATTGAAATTACCAAAGTTGACGCTGCTCCAAATTGAATTGTGTTGCCAACTTGGGATGCTTCTAGCTGCCACAAATTCTGCTCTCTTTTTCCTCCTTCTATTTGCGTATTATTTTTTTGGCAAATTGTTATTAATTTTACACCGGGGGCCCTGAGCGCTTTTTCACCTGAGTACGAAACCTAATTACCGCGCTTAATTTATGCTTGCAAATTGGCTTTCAAGCGGTTACGCAGGTGAACTGCCATCGCATTGTGGGCAGTTCAATTGCCAAAAAATCACCAAAAAATCGACAGAAATCACGAAAAACTATACGAAACTGGCACGCGTCCGATGCGTATAAAAGCCGCAACATTTTGGCCAAATCAGCATCAGTCGCAGTCCAGTCAGCCTGCTTTCAACTTCAGTCTTCCGAACCGTCCAGTCATCCCAACCAATCACCATGGCCTTCCGCTACCTCATCCCTCTGTGCGCCCTGGTGGCCTACGCCAATGCCGGTCTCTTGGCCAGCCATGTGGCCATTGCCAATCCCTCGGTGGATGCCGTCGCCTCCACCCAGCAGAACGTGGTGAGGTCCTTTGCCGGCACCGTGTCCAGCTACTCGAAGGCGGTGGACACCCCGTACTCCAGCGTGAGGAAGAGCGACACTAGGATCCAGAACAATGTCTATACTCCGGCTATTGCCAAGACCACTTATGCTGCTGCTGCTGCTCCTGCTGCTCTGTACACTCAGGCCACTCCCATTGTGGCCAAGACTCTGGTCCATGCCCCAGCTCCCGTCGTGGAGAAGCATGTCTACGCTGCTCCAGCTCCAGTTTTGGCCAAGACTCTGTACGCCGCTCCTGCTCCAGTTGTGGCCAAGACTGTGTATTCCGCTCCAGCTGCGGTTTATACTGCTCCCGCTCCAGTTGTAGCCAAGACCGTTTACTCCGCTCCCGCTCCAGTTTATGCTGCTCCAGCTCCAGTTGTAGCCAAGACCGTTTACTCCGCTCCCGCTCCAGTTTATTCCGCTCCCGCTCCTGTTTTGGCCAAGACCGTGTCCTATGCCGCTCCAGTGGCCACCACCAACGTGAACCACGGACCCGCCGCCACCACCTACACCCACAATGCCCCCGCTCTGGGCGTCTCCAGCTATGGCAGCTCCCAGACGGTCCACTACTCCCCCGCCAAGAGTGTGTCGCACATGAGCTTCGATGGATTCGGAACCCACTGGGGTTTCTAAGTTAAAAGACTTGGCCTCTTGGCTCGAGCAGTTGTTAATGTTTGTTGGTCAATAAAGACGGAGATCGATTGTTGCAAATTAAACATGATCAGTGAGCAGTGTAGACCTTCCCGGGGAACAATGGGCCAAGACTGGTTTCTGCCACATCATCATCATCATCGCCGTTGAGGCGGCCTTCAATGAGGTCTCACTTTGAGTGGGGGTGGGGTAATCCGATTTGTGATAAGCCGCCGCGGGGGCGTGGCACTTCGTGTTTTATGGCTCTTTAATTGGATTTAATATTTTTCGCACACCTTTCCCCCGAACCACTTTCAGCCGGAGAAATAACCTCTGGCCCACTTGTGCACTTGTTATAATTGTTGTCAGTTAATTAACGGATATTTATGCTCGCATAACCGCAGCGCCGCATAAATGGCTTACACACAAATAGCCCCCCGAAGCTTAGTCTTGACATTTGCCTAGAGTGGCTGTGGATATGTGGTACTCTAATGGGGCCCCAGTTTAATGGGTTCAATTGGAACCATTGACAGGCGGCAAAGAGGGAGAGATCAGCAGATCAAACGCGTGTTGTGACAGTGATATTTTAGCGGTGTGGATTGAACAACGCTCGTGTTGTGTAATGAAAGATATATGATACAAAGATTGTGAGGTAATAAATAAATAAAAAAAAGGGCTCACCATAAGGTGAGTTAATAAGAATCACTGAATCACTGGTTTATATTGCTGTAACATTTTTAAGGATTTTTGTTTTTAAATTAAACAAGCACCTCGACTATCAGATACCCGTTACTCAGTTAAAGCGACTGCTTGCACTGCTTGAATTACATTATTTTCTCATAACTTTTTACCGAATGGACTGATTTGGAAAATTTCTTATCTCAGCGTTCATACGAACAGATAGACAGACAGACTTTATAGGGTCTTTATACTTTTTCAAGAATACAATATATCTTTTTACTCAACAAGTAATGGGTATATGAATTCTTTCAAGGTGAGTTTATTTACAAGTGCCATTTAAAATTTATTTTCGATCCAACACAAACAACTCTATTGGCTACTTTTGTTCGCCTTTTAAAGACATGACACTAATGAGACATGCAATGGAGCTGATTAATTCCCTCCAGACCAACTGACAGGCCAGACAATAACAATCAAATTAAATGAAAACGTGTCCAAAAAGCGTAGAACGAGGTCCCTGTCTTGGAATTTTTGCCAGACAAATTAGCTGCATTTGTTGTTCCTGCTCGGAGCTTTGATTTGCGATTTGATTGCGCATACGCCCCATGCCACATGCCAAAATGTGCCAGATTGTCCTCGTCTGAGTTGACAATTAGTCAATAATTTATTTCAATTTCATTTCGCATGCCAAGCACACTCACACACCATCCCATTCCCCCAACCCCAAAAATGAAAGCCTAACTGCACTTTAATTACATTTACATTTCGGCTTAAGATTGAGATTGTCGCTTTAGTTTTTGCCACAAAACGAGACTGACAAGGTCCACCCAGCAATTGTTGCAATGCAATTTAGGTAAGCGAATTTTCATGATTTAAATAACAGCATTATGTGCGGCAGATTGTGTGTGTGGCTGAAAAACTGCAGACAATGTGGGTTTGCCGTTCGGTATTTTGTGTTTCGTCCGACTGGCTGGCCGTGTGTCCTGCTATAATTAAATTATGGCTGGACATAAGACGCATAATAGGTCATAAATCAAATTTACCTATCCCACGGGTCCATGCCGGGCATGACACTCCAGACGCCGTCACAGACACAGACTCCTATAGCCATAGATGCACTGCAACAAATGTACAGGTATTATCTTAAATCTAAAAAATTCATAAATTAAAAATTAAAATTAAATTGAAATTTTAGTTGTTAAAATTCTGATACCAAAATAAAGGTTCAAGTTGTATTTAAATAATTATAATAAATACAGAAAACTTCCTATTTTTCCTTTTCTTTTTCAGTGTAAATTTCTTTCTGTGCAACAAGGACGCACTGTATCCTGTATCCCCCTTCCCCGTCTTTTGATGGACATTATGACGACTCTGTCTCGGCAAACAATTAGACAATTGATGCATCTGCTCTGGCTGTTGTGCCCGTCCGTTTGAATTTACATTTGTGCCAGCATTTCTATTGCAACTTTGACTCCACGGAACCACAAAAGGGCCGTCCCGTGGTCCCGATTCTGTTTCTGTTTCCGTAACAGCGACTATAACTGCCGGACTGTGACTGCATTTAATGTGTCTTCTGTCAGGGACAGCCGCACTTTGCATGCAATGCAATTGAAACATTTGGGCAGCAGAAAATGCAAATTTGTTGCCTTGTTTTCGACCTACGGGTTTCGATGTTCTTTTTTTATTTGTGTGGAGAATTATTGGTTATTTAAGCTCTCACCTTATATCTAAAAATGAAAAAAAGAAGTGAAAGCTCAAGTTAAGCTACATTCCCTGTAAATTACGCAAAAATTCAAATTTTTATAGGTTTTTTTATATTAAAGAAGGAAAATAAAAGGACAACTTACAAATAGCATACCAACTCGTGCAGAAGTAGAAGAAAAGAAAACAGACCCACCATCGCGATATGTCATAGAAGCAGACAAAGAAAAAGTCCGCCCGCTCCCCACGATTTTCATTCCGCCCAACTGATACGCATTCTGAGATGGATTAAAATTTAATTTTTAATTTAAAGACTGTTTGTATTCTATTTGCTCCGCGTGGCGAAACAAATAGGTGCAGCTGGGGGTGCGGAAATGAAAGCAGCTTTAAGTTCGCTTTTTTCTGTTGATTTATCATCACTTTATGCAAATTGACCGCTTACCTTTGAGCTTTATCACAGAGAACATCTGTAAAACAGTTCAAATGAGGGGTTTTCTATTTTTCCCATTTTCCAGGGATTTTCCAGTTTTCCCCACTTTACCAACCCCGTCTTTTGCTGCCACGTGCAATGTCAATGCCAAGCGATTAACATTCAATTAGCTTTTGGCTCCATCAATGATTTTATCTCAGCCAGGAGGTCCTGTTGCTGCGGCTGGTTTGAGTGTAAATTGTGGCAAATTATCATTAGCCTGTTTTGGGGTCCCCACAAGAAGAGGACTCCGGCAACGACATCTTCAAAAGGTTTTTATGACATCGGCAGCTGTCGTTGACAGATTATTGTGGCGATTATTTTAGCAGAGAGGCAGGACACACAGGGCAGATACCAGATACCAGATACAAGATACAAGACGGCAGACAACAAACAGGATTCAGGGACGGGGGGCTTTTGTGCGTTCAACTGGAAATTGTCAACACTGTTGTTGGCATTGCTGGTGGCCGCTTTGTCGACCCTGTTACTCCGACACATGTGGCAGGACTCCAAGGATCTGCGTCCTGCCGCCACTTAAACATCTTGCGGCTTAGCACTTGTAAATAACAAGCAGTAGTTGGAAAAGTTGTCACATTTTTATAAACACCACAGACCAAGTAATGGGTTATGAATCATATGATATGACAATTTAGTTACACTTGGGGTATATTCGTGTTTTTAAAGAAATATTCTTAACGTCCAAATTCTAAGAATTAATTAAACTGTATAAATACTTTATTTTACTTTCGTGCTAAGTATAACCCAGCCATCAAAAATGGTTACAAATCAACATTGGGTATCAAAATTAACCAGTTTTTACTTTTTCTAACTCTGGACATGATAAATTTGTCACCAGTATTTCGATATTTTATACAATTTCCCTTAGGATGTGCAATTGCCCACCCATACTATTCAAGATCGCAGTGCTGTTATCAATTGTTACGACCATAGTGAGTTGGATATCTTGGTGCTCGTTGAACAAATACGCATGACCAAATCCGCAGGCGTTAACTAGCATGGAAATGTATACTAATAGCGAATCCAAGCAGGCTATCCAAACCGTCAACTTAGTGGTCTGCTTCATAGTACTCGTGGCCCTGGCAATGGGAATTTACGGAGCGATTATGAGCCATATCTTCATTATAAAGACGGTAGGTCCTATCCACGTTCTGCCGAATCAATAACACTCATATTTTCAGATGCTTTCAGCTGATGATTATTTTGGTGCTGTTCAGCTTATTTAAAATAGTTACGTGGATAGTGTGTGCGAATCTGTCGACAACTCTGTCTACTGTCGTCATTCATATTTGGTTCCAGGTTAACACGGCGTCTTCGGTATTAAAAAGTCGAATATTTAAATTATCTATTTCTATAATTTAAAAATCTCTACTACACAGATAATCTGTACGGTTTTAACTGTTAATCTCTGGATGCGTTTGCATGAGCAAACGAGGGAGTTTCAATTGGGCTATTAGTAAGTGGACAAATAAAGAGGTTTTAAAATTCGTAATTCATAAAAATATCTTATTATTTTTTGGTTTGTCTTTATAATAAAGGTTTTGTTATTTAATAATTATATTAAAATAAAGTGTTAATTTTTTTTTAAGTATGGAATAATTAAATTAATAGCAAAAAGGAACGCCATGATTTATTTCCCCATTTTACCACTTTAATCTTGAAACTTCCTCGCTGAAACTGAAACTGACCTCAAAGTGCTGATGAAGTTGTTTATACCAGCAGGCGTGGCAATTTGTGGGTTGTGTGGGTAATCAAATTACATGCGGAATTATGGACACCCGCAGGACGATAATGGCAGCCAATAAAGATGGCAATGACAATGACAAGATAAGCGCGGCCGGGAGCAGAAGAGGCTGTGACCCCCGCCGGGGTCATCGGTTGGCTCCTTTGCGTAGCTTTAAATGAAATTTAACGATGCCCACAAATAATGATACTTTGCATTTTAAAACACTTTGCCAGTCGGTCAGAGGGCAGAAGCCAGAAGTCGGGGTCCCAGAGTTCCGAGTTCCGAGTCCGATGCTCATTACACGCATTTCACTTGACACTTTTATTGGCAACCGAAACGGAAAAGCGGGTCATTTTATGGCCAAGAACGGATGCCGATAAGGGCATTAAATTTGTTTCAGCCATAAAGTCGCTGGCCACATCACTCAGCATTTGGCCAATTACGCAAATAAAAGTGCACACCCTCCTGGAAAAAAGCGGAACGTGTCAAAGTGCTGGAAATTGCAGCGGTTTTCAGGTTTTCAAGGATGTGAAGTGGCTCATTAGAGGTGTGTGTGCGCTGCCCCGAAGGTTTTTCGTCGGCAAATTGTGTGGAAAAACGCTCCCTCTAAACTGGCACTCTTACACAAAAATGCTGAAAGCCTTTGGCTAAGAACAAAGGCCTTCTAATTTAAGTGCGAACAAAGATATGAATGCTGAAATTTATTTTTTAATCCCCGACTGGCATAATTAAAGGCGAGGCCTGATCGGCCCGCGGCGATTCTCATCGGATTCTGGGCAGGAATTTCGACTGTCGCCAAGCGTTTGGGGGCCATAACAGCATGTCGTCGACGTTGTCGTTATCCTTGTCGTCCAGGCGCATGTCCTGCGGCTGATTAAAATCTATTAGAGTCAAAGAGATGTAAGACACTGAGCGGGCGAAGGATGTGGATGTGGATGCTCTTCATGCCAGTGGGTGGCCAACCCACTTTGGCCAATGACTTGCCATGTAAATGTCGACGGCGACGGCTACGCAATTGAAATGCATGCGGCGGAAACTTCCAACTTGTCAGAGAAGGGTATTCAGGGCGTTTTTCCTAAATCAAATGTTTTGGGATTAAAGAAAAATGTTTGGAATTCGAGAAATTAATGAATAGTGCTTCAAACAATTTATTAATTTTAGTACTGTTTTATTTATTTAAAATAGTGATAGCATAATATTTATAAAAGTTTAAAATTTAAGTAAATTTAAATATTTACTAAAAAAAATATTTTAAAATAATTGCTGGCCCTTTAAATATTTTAAAAATATATAGGAAAGTTGTGTAATCCTAGGTTGATTTACCTTTAAGAATTATTATTATTCCAAATTAGGGTATTCGAAATGCAATCATTCCTCAAACTTATTTTCCCCATACCAAATGTCCCAGCACTTGTTGTTGTCAAAAGTCGCACACAAAAACTTTGCAGTGCAAAGTTTTCAACGGAAATTGTGCAGCTGTTTTGTGTGTGGACTTGAGCGTCTCGTTGGCCTGCCCTTAAATATACTTGTAAAAGCAAATTTGTTAAAATATTCATTTAATGGCTGCCACGCCCCCGATCTGGCGAACGCCTCCCACTATCGGCATGTGCAGGGCGGTGCTTTCAATATGATTTTTCATGATTAAAGCGCGTGCCGGGTACGTTTTTATCGGCCGAAAGACATTTGCCCAACGATGCCGGAGTTCGATAGGAATTTTCTTATAAATTGTCGCCCCCAACAAATGTGTCCGCACCCCGACAGTGGGGGCAAAAAATACCCACACACACGCCGTCGTAATAAAGTGATTTTAAAGGGCACTTTCCCGCACTTCCCTTTCGCTTCGATGGGTATGCGTAAAATTTCCATTTGTGCCAGGCACTCAACTTTATTGAACTTGAAGTGGAGACTGCGATAATGTTTGTCTGATAGAGCGACGGCGGAGGAGGCGGCACATGTGTGCTGCTCCAAGATGTCCTGGCTTTACAATTCATTAAAATTTCATATAAACGGAATGAACAATGGCCAGCGAACGTAATCCATTTTGCAGCTGCAACCGAACAGAGAGAGAAATGTTGGACTCCAGGAACATTTTATATCTAAAATGTAGGTTTGTTCTTTAAAAGTGTGAATTTGGTTTAACTAAAAGGTTTTAAAATTTAACAAATGTTTTCAAATTAAAAAAAATTTAAGTACTTATTAAATTTTTTTTTAATATTATTGTTAAAAAAATATTTTATTAGCTCCTGCTTTAATATCTTAAAATAAATTTTTGAATCTAAATTACAGAATTGTAGACCAAAATGATTGTGTTACCAAAGACACACAAATATAATACTTAAAAATTGATAGAAAGTTTAATTTAGGCATTCCACTATTTTTTTATATTTTTTAACATTTGTATAAGCAATCATATTATTTAAACTATATTTTATTTTTTGAAGAAAGTGTCTTGTTTTCCCAGTGCAATGTTATTAACTGCTAGTTACAAATGCGCCACAATAACGGTATTAAATGCACTGCGAAAGCGTCAAGTCATAAACAGCTCATCAGTCCTGAGCGAGCGAAATGGGAAAGTAACCAGCCAACCAACCGCTCCCATTCCGCCCCAGCGGTAATTATGCGCAACGCGCGACGCCGCTGCAAAAGTTGTGCTATCACAACTCATTGTCTCGGCGGGCAGGAAGTGCAGGAAGTGGCAGCAACAGCAGCCGGCGGCAAAACATGCCACCAAAGGGGGCGAAAGCGAATGCCTTTGCCTTTTGACGCTGATAATGCAATTTCCGTGAGCCCCCCTTTCATACCCGCCCCTGGCGTAATTTACAGCCGTGCAATGTTTCATTTTTGTTGCGTCCTTCGGGTCGTCCTTAAAGCCAGAGCTCAGACAACTCGGATAGCTCAGCCAACGGGGCTAGTTGCGGCTATTTATCTACATAAAGTTAATTGAAAACATTCAAATGCCAGGACGGCTGCGTGATGTGTCAACATCTTCTGATGCCGCATAATCCCATTCCATCCAAAGGAGCCATTCCGAACACCTATCCCTTAACCAGTGTGATGAAATGATCAGGCTTTTCGAATAAAGGATATCCTGCATAGAAAAATTTATTTTCTTTCTGAACTTACTTTTCATTACTAAATAACGAATTAATCAGAATTTAAAAGAGGTTTTCTTTGAAAAGATTTTCTTTCGATTAATACTATGAACATGGAACCTTTAATTTTCGTCGTTTTTAAATTTAAATAATTTTGTAATCATTTTGGAGCTTTCTTAGATCTTTGTTGTAGAACTTATAAAAAGTAGGTATATTGTGATTTTGGACATTATAAAATCATAAGCCTCGTTGATAGATATTTCTGGCACAATTTGTAAAAAAATATATAAATTTCACATTTTTTAGATATAAAATTTTTCTAGGATTTCCCCTAGTAAACCGCAATATACCCTTGTAATCCCCGAATACCGCGTGCTGTAACAATGAACAATGAAATGAAGGCATTGCGCTTTTTCCCTGTTTTCCTCGCCATCGTCGTCTTTATTACAAATTGGTTTTGTGCACTCACCACTCGCATGTTTCGTGCGCAATTTGCACCACCGAAATGAATATGGAGCGAGGGCAAAACTCTCGACAAATGTCCAGAAAAAATAAATTGCAGAACACGAAAAGGTGAGCGGAGGGGCGGAAACGTGTCCAGCTCGCCACGTTAACGAAGTGAAATCGAAAGTTTGACTGCGGTCAGCGTGGGGCATTGTCATTGTCTATCGCTTTGCTATATCACTATATCCCGGCCCCGATTTCGGCTCGTATCTCCCCTGCTGACTGTCAGATTGAATGGTTTATGTGTGACACCTTTGACCGGTCACCGAGGTGTTTTTCTGGCCGACGTTGCCCACAGCCAGACGATATAAATTAAAATTCACCTGCAAGCAAGGGGAACTTCAGGCATCGGCTTAAAATCACAGACGGACATTTGTTACCATATGGGAACTGATAACCAGGAGAGGAATTTGATTCTTATATTTTAAAATTTGGAATTTTAACAATTTATAAAAACATAGTAATAGAAACTTTGTTTTCTTTTAATATTTAACTGTTTTGTTTTTGATAGCATGTGCTATTTTATAAATAAGCTTTTTCTTTTCAAATATATTTAAGTAGTTCCAATATATTCTAAAAATTATTTTGAATCATTTTTTTTTTCTTTAAAAATGTTCCTTCCAAAAATTCTACAATCCGTATTCTTCAATTTCCGATCAATCACCAAATTAAATATTCCATTCAATTTAAAAATACTTTAGACCAATATCACACTGACTCAGTTTTTCAAACTCGATTATGCCGGCTTGGCCTAACACCAAAAATCCTGTTGCCTGATTTCCGGGTTCCTTTATTTGCCCAGCAGAAGTCACGTGGCATTCATAATTCTTAAAATGACGCCATCAGAAATTATGTAGCAATGCTAAGTGCACCCAAACAGCTGTCCCCCACTTTTCCAGGGGGACTCTACGTGACCAGCATTTGTCGTTTGCCAAGCGCTGGGATTTTCCCACTTTTTTTTGGATGGACAGTAGGGTAACAATGGGGAATTGATTTCGGGTTTTGGCCAAGTGCAAGCTGATTATGGAATTAAAACATATTTCTGCGCTGCGAGCTTAAAACTTTAAGTGGCAAAGGTTGTCGCTGCGTTCTTAGTACGTGACATTCTTTTGCTTTCCGAGTTTATAACGTGACAAGTTTTCCAGTCTTGCGCTTACTCGCCGCACACCC